GCCAAGTTATATTGACATCAGACTAAAATTGTAGGAGGAGTAGCGTTTTGAAAAATTGTTTACAGACAGACGGACAGACAGACGGACGGACAGACAGACAGACAGACAGACGGACGGACGCCGGACGCATTACTATCGCATAAGCTCTTCTGGTCTCTGACCAGTAGAGCTAATAAAAATTGACTTTTTTTAACTTTATTGGTTAAGAAAAGAGAAAGAAATGTAGAATAAAAACATAATTTTGTCAAATCTGGCAAATTCGAGACAATAAAAGACATTTATGTCCATCCTTTTACAAAATTTAATGGTAAAGTGCTATTAAAATATTTATCACTTCAATTTTTGTTTATTAAAGGTACTCTATGCTGTTGCAAAACTAAGAATTTTTCATAATTTTAAGAAAAACAAATGATAAAACTTAAATAGGTATATAAATAACAGGATAATTTGTCCCTCCTGTTACAATTTCTGTCCATTCTGTTACAAGAGTGCATGTTTAAGTTTTAATGGCACTATTTGAAGCACAAAGAAATTTCAATATGATTTATAAAGTTTTTTAACATGTGTTATTAAACTTATATTACTTAGAAAAATAAAAGTAATTGTTTTTATTGTTAAAACTCAAGATATGAAGTCCAGTTTTCCTTACTGTTACCATATTAATAGTAACAGGAATGACAGTAACAGGATGGACATTTTCATATAAATCACCAGTTAGTTAGTATAACGTACTCTTTTTGCATCATTGAGACATTGAAACCATTTCTTTTTAACTTAGTTAATCTAATTGTTCTAGCAGAATAAACAATTTAAAGAGTACTTGCATAATATGAAGGTAACAGATAGGACGTATTTTAATTATACTCTACCAATAAGACAAACTTATCGACCTTTGAACCCTTTCTTTACTCACTTTCAAATCATGGCGCTCATAAACTTGAGACAACAGAAAATGATGATATAATGTGGATCATGAAAACAGTTCCTAGGAAAGTGAGATAACTTTTATTTTAACATTTTCTTTTTGGTAGCAGGAATGACATAAACTTGTAGGACATGTCACTTCCTGAATGTTAAATGCACAATGCTAGTATTTAGTGGGCGGCATAAGTAAAACAATCATATTATTTTAATCTGTAAAAGAATTCAATTAATATGAGGTGCAAAATTTGTACATATCTTCACAGGGTAATATTTTCCCCATCATTTAACTATAAGCACGTTATAAAATTTTTGTTGAAGTGACATGGTTTTACTGTTAAATTTTACTCGGAATGCATAGAATATTTTTTTATAAAACACCTGGGAGATGATCATAAAATAACTTATAAGCTGTATGACCATGTATATTAACCAACGGGGAAAAAATTTCACTCTTAAGAATGTTATTCCTATTATTCTGATCAAAAGACAAAAAAGTGGACTTTTTTTGAAAATGACCCACATACAGTATTGTTTTCATATCAGCAGTTTTGATATCACAAAAATGAACCTTGTGGATTCATATAAAATACAGTAAAATATAAGATACATGTATACATATGTTTAATAATTTTCAAAATTATTATGCAAGAAATTGCTGGAATATTTTGATTTTCTTGCAAATTCAAAACTTAATAGGTGGTGAAATTAAAACAAAATCTAACACAAACAATTTAACTATATACATGTAATAATATATCTCTCCTGAATGGAAACAGCACAGAACAAAAAAAAATGAAGATATGAATATGGCACAAGTGACGTAAAACATAAAACAAAGAAATGCTGATTCAGATTTGAAAATACATTTTCCTTTTCATAACTTTGTCACATGCTATGCTTTTAGTCATTATTTATAAAATTTACATATGTATGATATTGGCAATAGCCATTCACTGCAATGTGTCCAATATTCAATCGCTGCCAAACTTTGGAGTTCTCATGTGTCTAACGATCTACTGTTCAATAGCTGTCAAACTTAGTGGAGTTTACACTTGTGTCTATTGATCCACCTTTATACTGCCCCTTCTTCTTCTTGGTCTTTTCACGCTTGAATGATTTGCCCTGGGTATGCTTGAGGTCTCTGTTTGCTTTCTCTCCCCATGATCCAGCAGCTCCTTTCTGTAATAGTGTTAGACGTTTCAGGTGAGACAACTTATTTTATGTTATAAATTACAAATAAACCAAAAGTTGCTCAGAATTATGCATACTTTGGTCTCGGTAAAGCATCGGAGCAATGTAGTATTGAAAAAACTAAAACTTTGTGTACTGATATTACTCATACTTTATGTACAGAAAATACTCATACTCTGTGCAATAACATTACTCATACTTTGGTCTCAGTAAAACATCAGTGCAATATGTAGTATGAGTAGTACAGAAATTACTCATCCCTGTGTTTACAGAAATAACTCATATCTTGTGTACAGAAATTACTCATACATTGTGTATTCAGTAAAACATCAGTAAAGTGTACAGAATTTACTTTTACCTTAGCCTCAGTAAAACATCAGTATAGTGTAAAGAATTTACTTTTACCTTAGCCTCGGTAAAACATCAGTATAGTGTACAGAATTTACTTTTACCTTAGCCTCGGTAAAACATCAGTATGGTGTACAGAATTTACTTTTACCTTAGCCTCGGTAAAACATCAGTATGGTGTACAGAATTTACTTTTACCTTAGCCTCGTTAAAACATCAGTATGGTGTACAGAATTTACTTTTACCTTAGCCTCGGTAAAACATCAGTATGGTGTACAGAATTTACTTTTACCTTAGCCTCGGTAAAACATCAGTATGGTGTACAGAATTTACTTTTACCTTAGCCTCGGTAAAACATCAGTATGGTGTACAGAATTTACTTTTACCTTAGCCTCGGTAAAACATCAGTATGGTGTACAGAATTTACTTTTACCTTAGCCTCGGTAAAACATCAGTATGGTGTACAGAATTTACTTTTACCTTAGCCTCGGTAAAACATCAGTATGGTGTACAGAATTTACTTTTACCTTAGCCTCGGTAAAACATCAGTATGGTGTACAGAATTTACTTTTACCTTAGCCTCAGTAAAACATCAGTATAGTGTATAGAATTTACTTTTACCTTAGCCTCAGTAAAACATCAGTATAGTGTATAGAATTTACTTTTACCTTAGCCTCAGTAAAACATCAGTATAGTGTACAGAATTGACTTTTACCTTGGCCTCAGTAAAACATCAGTATAGTGTACAGAATTGACTTTTACCTTGGCCTTAATAAAACATCAGTATAGTGTACAGAATTTACTTTTACCTTAGCCTCAGTAAAACATCAGTATAGTGTGTAGAATTCCTTTTTACCTTAGCCTCAAATGAATTATCAGCCAGCCTCTTATCAATCTTGATTTCTTCCGATTTGACTCTTCTAAATGGAACATTGCCTTTGTTTGCCTGAAAAAGCGGAAATCTTGATACAAGTACAGTTAGGGTGATTAAAGTACAGTTTTATACCTATCAGTACTTCATTTACATAACATGGAAAAAAGCTTTCAAAAATATTTGAGTTGCTTATGCATGAACCATATTTTGAGTTCACCTGAGTCAATCAGGTTACCTGTTGCTATCTGTTTTGTGCAGTGAAGGTGAGGCATGTATTTAAGAAATGAATTTAATTTTTGAAGATTCATGAGGTTATATATGAACTACGACACTTCACACCGGCATATTTTGTTAGCGCTTCATGATAAATATGCTGACATGAAGCGTTGTACATGTAGTTCATGTACCTCATGAATCTTCAAAAATTAAATTCATTTCTTATATTTACATAATTTTTCTGATGAGTAGCCACACATATACGCCATTCAACTGTTATTTTTAAAGAAAAAACATTTTACGCTATAGTTTTACATCAAGTGAAATATCATGACGTAACAATGGAGATATTCATGCTTATCCATGGTAGTTCAAGAGAAAATGAACAACGCTCTATTTGCAAAGAATCTTTATATGGAAAATTATTTGGAAATGTAAATATTCACATTTGAACATTTTCAGCTTCTTTTTTGAAACCAGGATACATATTTTAACTAATTTGGGCACATAGCATATATGGGTGTAGGGGAACAAAAATTTTGAATTTCATTGTCTCTTTTACCCTAGGGACTGCAGGATGGAGCTGAAACCATCAAAATTAATGCAATCTTTATAATTAATGTTGTGACTCAAATTCTCTTCACTCATACAACTGTTTTTAAATAACATGCTTAATTGATATTAAAGCATATTTCTTTCAAGGCATGTTTATTTCTACGTTTCCTCTAGCATTTCTATCATTTATCATACAAGGCTTCCTTGACCATTTTTATGAATGGATGTAAGCATTTATCATAAATTTCCTCTTGCAGGTTTATGACTGAGTGTTGACATTTATTATATGGGGTATCCTGTAGCATTTTCCCTCAATTACAAGCATTTCAAATTACCAATTTAGTATCTCAAACATTGAAATCTCCAATATATACCAGCGATATGTGGATGCATCTGGGTGTAAGAAGTCCAAACCAATTTTTCAATCCACAAATTTAACTTCAATACATTAATCTTAAATACTTGGATAGCTCACTTCCCCCCAGCTTCCATAATGTTTGACTAAATTAATACCACGAATTGAAGTTGGGGGGGGGGCTTCTACATTATATGCAAGGGGTCTGAGGGCCGCCTTTTTCCCCAGTTCCAGGGCAAAGCCCTGGTAGGGGGCAAACCCCCGAAGCTCTTGGATTCTAGAGGTTTTGTAGGGTAAAAATGAGGTCTACTGAGTAGACATTTAAAACATTTTCTCGCAAAACTATGTTTTATGCTTTGACAATTTTAGGGGGCGCACGCCGGGTGCACCCCCCTTAAATCCACCACTGTTAATTGAAGTGGTCTGACATGTTTTGAGTTCAACTTTTCCTTCAGTAAACCATTACAGAGTTTAAACTAGCATAAGAGATCTTCAACCATCTTGAAGCTTCAAATCAATAAATATATTAAAGCAATGTTATATAAAAATGTTATCATTTATTTCAGATGAAAATGGAGATGAGATACTTGAAAAATATATACTGTTACATTCAGTATATGGCAAAAACAAAACAATCATAACAAGAGAGCAAAAGTTAAACACCGCTTATCTTTACAAGAACAGAGACATATGTGGTACTAAATCTGCATCATTTAATAAATCATGAAAAATGTACACTTCTATATGTCAACTACAATATATTTAAAAAGCAGAATGAAAATGAAAATGTATTCAATGCATGCATAAACAGTTTCAAGATATTCATAAACTTAATGAATGTGTCAGTGTGTATAAAAATTATTAAAATGACAGAAAACACAAGTATCAGTCATGCATTATAACATCTGTGTCCTTGTAGCAGCATTCACTCATCCAATGAAATAATGTGTCCTTATATTCCACATTTCAATAGTTCCCAAGTAAAATGAACACAAAAACCTGTCTTCTGAAACTCTTGCATTTGTCCACTGTCTCTGGTAATATATTTCACTACAACCTTCCTAGTGTGACACTTTGTCTTTTAACTGACAGCTTTTAACTCGACATCAAATATCAGTGTGGAATTGGCCGGAATGTGTCCCACTTTACTGTTACCATATCTAAAAGAAACATATAATATATACAATACCCTTTATATTTACTTGGCAGCATTCATAACAGATCATTTTTCAATTTTGAATTTCAAATATATGGGTATCTTAAATTAATCATTTTTTAGGTCTTGATTTTTGTCTGTGATCAAAATAAAAGTTGAGCTCTTGAAGTTTTGATGAGACATTTTCAGAATTCTATGCCCCGGGGAATACTCACGCTTGTTGGGGAGGGATAGTCAGTCTTCGTTTTCCTCCTACTTTTAATCCTGTCACAATGAAACAGAAATTGTAAATAATAAAGTAAATGATAAAATCAGTTTTATAATTCCATTATATCACATCACTACAGTGATTGTTAATTTCCTACCTTGAAGTCCCACATCCCAGCCTTTGATCACCTCGTTCTTGCCCAATCGGAACTTGAAAGGTTTTCCTTGTGAGCAGGAATCAAACTGTTTTCCATTACTTGCTAGTTTTCCAACATAATACACGCTCACCTATCAAATGAATTTTGTCAACTTTTATTTGTTCTAGTATCACTCCTTTGTAAATGTCCAAACCCTGGAACCTTTTTGTTCTGATTACAAGTAAAATGCACCCATATCTGCTATCTGGAAGCTGGTACGGTGGCAGAATTTTTTTTTATTATTAAAGATGCATAAGCAAGGCTATCTAAATTTAATTCCCTGGTTCTCAGGCCAATTTTCTCCAAAACAGATGCGGGGGGGCGGCATTTTATTTTTCATTTTATTGGCAATAAAGTAGATGAGGGAGGTATTTTTTTTAATTTTAATTTCCGAATTTTCTTTAAAATAAAGATCTTATTTTTAATCACAGATATACTTTCCATTTCTGGTCAAAATTTCTGCTTTATCCATTGCTTAACAGCATGTAAACATCGTAGGTAATGTCCTCGAATGTATTTTCAAACGAAGTAGCCAAAATCTCATTGTGAATGGCTACCGGAATTGATATTTGAATACTAAACTACGAAACAAATGAGGTCGGAATTTTTTTTCCCGGATTGGTCTCCGCAATACCAACTTTTTATTTTATGAAAAATACAATAAAATCGGCAATGCGGCTACCTCAAAACGGATGCGCGCGGGCCTGAGAACCAAGATTTCAATTTTATATGGCCTAAACCATGTTCTACTTTTCTTTTAAATCTTTAATTAATTAGGATATCATGTTTTTGTCCCAAAAATTGAAAAAAATTATTTAAAGTTCACGTTCTCAAGACTACTGTAAAATCACATATTTTTGTGGGGTCAAATCTTCGTGGTTTGAGGAAAATCTCTTGGTTTGTGTGGATTTGATTTCATGGATCAAAGATTATTGAGTACTTATGTATGTAACATTTTACATTTCGTGGTGGACATGAATTCATGGGTCTTGTCATACCTCGAAAACAACGAAAATTAAACCCCCACGAAAATTTGTGATTTCACAGTATCCTGGGATGAGTGAGAATATTTTCTATTGTGACGTAAATGAAGTAAAAATATATATATATATTTTTTTTTCCAACAAATTATTGAATAATAAAAATGGGGCAAGTCATCATGAAAATAATATAAGCAAAAGAAATCAATTCAATTTTTGTGAATTCAAGAGGTCTATGATCTGCAACGCTTCACGCCTGCATTATTTATCCTGAAGCACCACCAGGCTCCATGAAATATGCCAACATGAAAGCATGGTAGTTCATGTGCTCAATAATTATTGAAAATTAAATTAATTTCTTATATTAATAAGCCCTTGGATCAGTGTATGAGTACATTACCATTTTTCCTGATTTGGCCTCTGGTCCATGACCCGCTTTGGTTTCCTCCATTACTATGCCACCAGAGAGAACTTTCTTAGAAGGGGTCGTAGTGGCAGATTTTGGTGTGGACGCCTGCAATTTAATGATTAATGAACAATTTCTTATACAACCTTTTAAATTCAACCAAACAGAAGTTATTTTTGTTTTTAGCCCTCTACCTCATTGACAGATTCATCTCCCTTTTTGTTTTTGTTCTTCTTCTTCTTTTTCTTCTTCTTTCCCTCTGTTCCTGGGGTTTCAGTATTCTGCCAATGATTTAAATTAAAACAATCTCTCATCAGAAATTTGACAATTTTTTCCTTTTTAATAATGTCAATTTTACAGGTTCATGACTTCATCCATTCTTTGAAGTAAACTGGGACTGAATAGGATATATATTAAACATAAAAGTGAAGAAAACCATTTTTTAAAATCTATTACTCCACATAGAGTGTATATTTTAATTAGGTTTGTGGTATTTAGACTAACCTGTCCATTGGCGGGTGTTTGCTGCCCTTTGCCTGGTGTCTGTTGGGTGTCTTTCCCCTGGGTCTGTTTTTTCTGAGCTGGTGTCTGGGTTTTAGGAGTCTCTAGCTTTGACGTGTTCTTGGTCTGTGATGGTGTTTTGTTTGGCGTCTTCTTCTTCTGCTGTGCCTTGTCCTGACTTATGTCGGGGTCTCCTTTGAGGAGGTATGTTATCTCTTCTTCACTGATCTCATCTTCTTCATCTACAAACAACAGGAGATCCTGTACACGCATAGTCAACACATACAAACACTGCAAATATCAACTCTCATGATATTACCCCTAATCTCTACTCAATGAATATTAAGCTTAAGTCTGGTATTCATTGAAAGTAAAGTCATACTCTGATTTTACAATCTGCACTCAGTGAGAGTTAAAAGACTTACTCTGATCTTCTGCACAAATGGCAGTCTTCATAACTTATCTAACATCTTTTCTTTATCTTCATGTACCTATATCACTGAGAGATAAGGCTTACCCTATCTTCACTACCTGTATCACTGAGAGTTAAAGCTTACCCTTATCTTCACTACCTGTAACCACTACCTGTAACACTGAGAGTTAAGCCTTACCCTCAACTTCACTACCTGTATCACTGAGAGTTAAACCACTACCTGTAACACTGAGAGTTAAGCCTTACCCTCAACTTCACTACCTGTATCACTGAGAGTTAAACCACTACCTGTAACACTGAGAGTTAAGCCTTACCCTCAACTTCACTACCTGTATCACTGAGAGTTAAACCACTACCTGTAACACTGAGAGTTAAGGCTTACCCTCATCTTCACTACCTGTATCACTGAGAGTTAAACCACTACCTGTAACACTGAGAGTTAAGCCTTACCCTCAACTTCACTACCTGTAACACTGACAGTTAAGCCTTATTCTCATCTTCACACTACCTGTAACACTGAGAGTTTAGCCTTACCCTCATCCTCACTACCTGTTACACTGAGTGTTTAGCCTTACCCATATCTTCACTGTCTTCTTCATTACTATCTTCTCCCTCTGAAGCCTCTTCATCCAGAAAGTCAAGGGCTGAAAGCTCTGATTCATCATTTTCATTGTATACATAATCTTCATCATCTTCATCATCATCATCATCTTCATCATCATCATCACTATCTTCTTCTGTAAGCTTAAGCTTTTTGGCCCCTTTTCCACTTTCTTTCTTCTTCCGTTTTGCTCCCATAGCTAAAGGATAGAATAGAATACACTTTAGGAACCATTTATTTCGCTTTGAATTTGTTGAGAATGTTTCTTCGGATGCAAAAAATTAATTGTCAATGTCCAATTTCAAACTGATGAATTGAGAATAAAGTTTGTTTACAGTAACATGTATGTTAATTGCAATTATTTCAGGTGATTAATTATTCATAATGTCATTCTAGTCAATATTTACACTTGAGAAGGGCCAGATCATCTTCATCTTCATCCTCCTCTGAATCTTCATCTGAATCTTCATCTGAATCACCAATTAGTTCTGGAGCTGAAATTTTAACATGGGTACAATAAGTCTAGTCTCCTTTTAAGCTCTTCCTATGTTAATTTTGGTCTTTTTTTTGTTTGTTTTATCTTACAGGATATGAAGTGTGACTTCAAGTAATCATGCTAATCTGACAAAGAAGCTTAAAAGGGGTACATGTTCTATAAAAAATTGACTTTTTAATATGCATATTTCTTTAGTGGGTTTAATGGAAAATGACAAGCATTTGAAATAATTTCCCACAACTTAGGAATACATGTAATAGACATTTCCTGTGTCTTTTTCGGCAAGCAATTTTATTAATTAGTTTTTTTATTAATCAATTTTGTATTCATTCAAAAATTCAAACTTCTTGTACTTTCTAATGACAAAGTAAAATAAACATTGTCAAGTCAGCTACCAAGAAGGTTTGAAATTCATATATTACTCACAATAAATTTACCTGCTTTTCGAACTTATCTGATTTTTAATTTTATTGGCCTTGGACCATTTTACTAGGTTTTGGTTATTAAGGTAGTTTTTATCCTCTAGTGTTAACACTAAGCAATTAATTAATACATTACTTACCTTCATCTGAGTCATCATACATTCCCTCCATATCTTCCATATCTTCTGGTTGGTCTTCCACCAGGTAGCCGGTCAGGTGAACCGAACCTGTAACACACAAACATACAGATCATAACAAAAATTACGCACAAACATACAGACCATAACCAACTAAATGCACAAACATACAGTTTGTAACATGAAATTCAGAATTTTGGAAGAGGCATCCTTCCTCATCATAACTATACATGTACATAGTTCATTAGAAGATTTTTAAAGAATTAATGCATTTCCATGATATAGTCATTACAGCCCCGCCTTAACACCAGAACCCCAAACCCAGGGTCATGAAATTCAGAATTTTGGAAGAGGCTCCCTTCCTCATCATAACTATGTGCAAAGTTCATTGGTTTAATAATGAGGAGCATAGGAGAGGATTTTTGACGAAATAATATATTTTCAATACATTTTCAAAAAAGCCCTGCCCTAGCACCAGAACCCTGGGGCCATGAATTTCAGAATTTTAGTAGAGGGCTCAATGCTTCTTACAATCATGCTTGTTGTCCAAGACTAAAGAAGATTTTTAAAGATTGCATTAGTTTTTGTGGTTTTGACCACACCCCTCAGGACCCAAGGGGCAGGGACCATGAAATTCTTAAGTTCCCCATCACCCATAGATGCTATATGCCAAAATTGCTGGAAATTGTTTGAGCGGTTTCAGAGAAGAAGCTAAAAAATGTTTTAATGTTAACACGACAACGGGGGACAAAAACAGATAGCAATATAGTTAGTGACTCAGGTGACCTAAAAATTATCAATAGGTATGGTGCATTGCATATGTCCTGGAATAGAACAGTCTGTGAGTCATCTTACCATTCCCTGTTAAGAAAAACGTGACTTCTTCTCCTTCTGTAAACATCAGATCCAGTGGCTGTTGTAGTACTCCATTGTATCCCAGGGAGCAAAGCAAGAACTCTGCCTTATCCACACACACCATTACACCAACTAAACAGGAAAATTAAGCAGCTATTAATTGTATATAAGTGTCAGAAAAGTGATTTTAACACTTTCATGTATTGATGGAGCCCATTTCAACCAAAATCCCTATTTCAGCACAATAATCTACAACCTATAACATACATCTATAACACCTCCCACTTCTAAGTAGTTCTAACTGCTCCCTACCTTTACACCTCTCGCCTCTAACAACTCCCTACCAGTACCTTTACACCTCTAGACCCTAACAGCTCATGACCTTTACACCTCCCGCCTCTAACAATTCCCTACCTTTACACCTCCCGACCCTAACAACTCTCAACCCTAACAGCTCCTGACCCTAACACCTCCCGACCTTTACACCTTCTGACCCTAACACCTCCCGACTTTAACACCTCCCGACCTTTACAGCTCTTGACCCTATAAAGCTCCTGACCATAAAAGCTTATGACCCTAACAGCTCCTGACCTTAACACCTCCCGACCCTAACAGCTCTCAAACCTAACACCTCCCAACCTTAACACCTCCTGACTTTAACAGCTCCTGACCCTAACATCTCTTGACCTTGACACCTCCCACCCTTAACATCTCCTGACCTGAACACCCTTCGACCTTGACAACTCATCAGTCATGACCCTAACATCTCGACTTTAACAGCTCCTGACCTACCTTTAGAAGCAGGTGGTTCCATGGCAGCCATGGATATGTGGAATGATCTTTCCACGGTCTGTGTATAACGCTTTCCTCCATCTAGAGTCACACCTGAAAAAATATATATATTACAATTCAGCTCATTAATACAATAAATAGTTTTCATATAAAATACTATCTTTCCAGAGAAATGAGGCTTCACAAATATATATTTTTCAGAGAAAAATTAAACCCAATGCTTCCTACCCCACAATGGTCAGTATAAAAGGTTAAAATTGGTTGAATAATGAAGGAATATGAGAATGTTTACCTTTAATATGATGGCCAACAGCCAATAACTTTTGGTAATTTGGGCCTACTGATAACTATCTATTTAATAGCTTCCAGGAAAGTATCAATAGTTCTTACGTTAGCTGGTACATTTGAAATGAATTTGTTGACTTTTATCATGCAATGTTTTCAAAAATGTTTAAATTTGATGATAATACAGCAGACTTTTCTAAGAACCTTGGTTTCTTGATTGTGCCTGTCTGAAAAACTTTTTGAAAGATTTTAGAGATATGCTCTGATAGGGAACTGTGTACTAACATTGTCACCAGATAAGGCTCTGACTTTTAACTGAATTTCTTGATGAAAAACATTTGTATGTTGCAGCATTATAAGCTGACAGCATACAAAACTTAATTAAAAGTACAAATCATACATCATCAGTCTAGACGAACTCCAAAAACGGCGTTAACGGAAGTGAGAATTTCAGTTCAGAAAAGACTCCAAAAAACGAGTCCATGCATGCGCAGTTACATCAAAAAACGGTGAAAAATCATGAAAAGTGGGCTCTTACAAAAAGTGCTTTTGCCAAAAATTGGATTACCTTGCAATAATGTAAGTTCTCAGAAATGATTAAGAATAAATGTTTCTAGAGAACGTATTTATTAGAATTTTGATTTCATGTGCAAATAGTTTTTAATTTCAAGTCAAAGTTGACCAACTTCGAGCTTCAGCCAGACCTCGTACAAGTAGAATACAGAATACAAATTAAACAGTACGTCTTAATCTTATTAAAACATCTCTGTGATTGATAATTTGTTTGCAGTGACTAAGTTAGTCATTTTAGAACACTTTTTACTGATTTTAAAAGTGTTTTTGTAAGTAAGGGATGCTGTCGAATTTTAAGTTGTTCGAAATTCCTCTTTCTTTCATGTCTATCGTGTACGAATGAATTTAGCATGTTTAGACCAGCAATGAGCAACTACATTGTAAATACATGTTACCAATAATTAAAAAAGTACTGAATTGATCATTTTAATCATAAATAAGAGTCGATCAGGTGACAGTTACCTGAGAATCCATTCAGTTTCTACATTTCCTCTGTTGCTGAAGAGATCGTACGTAATCCTTTATGACATGTGAATTGAGAGCGTAAGTTATCACCATCGCTATTTACCTTATTGTTATCACATAGGAACAGATATTATCATGAAAACATTTATAGAACTATAATCTTTCAATTTGAGAACTTTAAAAAATCACAAATTTTAAAATTACGGTAAAAAAGTCTTCTCAAAATGAACCTGTTAGTATCTCTGCTCCTCCGCGAAAATTGTTTGTTTTTTTGATAAAATAAATACAACCTAAGTGTCTTGGAAGTAAGATTTAAGCATCTTTATTGTAGGAATGACATAAAATTTAAATCAAAGAAACAATAAAGTAAGTTAAGAAATTAATTCTTCCGACTGTATTGAATCCGATGTCTTGTATCCCAAATCACTATTATATGCAAGAATTCGAAGTGATAAATAAGTCAACAACCACTAATAATTTAATAGATGCAATTATTTATTCAACAAAAATTAAAATCCAGTCACAGTATAATAAATACAGCCATTATTCGGTCGTATTTGTGGAGAAAGCGAACGACAATCCATCGTTTGTTTACATCCATTTTGCCGCAATGCATGACGGAGCCGAAAACTTCTTTTTTGGAGTTCACGCTGTTTTTGGAGTTCGTCTAGACTGATCATTAATGATTAGACACTAGGAAAATCCTTCCCAGAGTGTCAGTTTTTGATGGGTGAAATATAATAAATGGTAAATCAGGATAATAGTATATATCCTTCTAATGCAATAATGGTTTACCTATTGGTTATAATTAAATTAGTTTCTATTACATATACAGATTTCTTTTAACATTTGATTTGTTATTAGGGAGGAAATTGTTAACTTTACTGGCAGAATTTAAATCTCTGGCTTCTACCACGTGTTAGCCAGCTGATGATCGTTTTATTCTCTTTTAATTTAGTGAACAAACTAAGCAGTACTGAAATTACTCTCTTCATACATATCAGAAATAAAAAAGAATACATTTTTCTGTTTTTGCAATAATTAATTGCAATGTGCAATCAAAAACTCTCACCCCAAAACATTTTCTGTGATCCTATTTCTTTCAGTACAACCATGCTTCAGTAACCGGTTTGCGCTAGTCGTATTTTTTCAGGACTTTTACATATTGACCAAAATTTTGCCAAATTCTGGTAAAAATGTTTTAAGCATAAAAATTATGAATATTCATCCATTCTTTAAAGTTGAATAAAAAAAGTGAAGTATGTTTACGACATACATATTGGGGAACTGTTTGGTAATTAGTCTTATCAATTAAAGATGGCGACGCACATGGAAAACCTCATGTCAAAAATATTACAGGATTTTTTGCAGTGTACCAGCAAACCTGAAGAGTTTCTGAGGTAAAATAAATACACTTGACCCCCCTCTCTCTCTCTCTTAAAAATATTTTATAAACATTTGCGGATTTTTACAATGTCACTGATTGTACATTCAACAATTTTAGTATATCTGATTCATGTCTATTGCATATCATAGTAGAATGAAGTAGAGTGTATTCAAAGCAGACTTTTTGTGACCTTGGCTGGAAGTCCTTTGGAAGTTAAAATGAATATATGTCACCATGATTTTTTTGCAGTGCACAACCTCAAGTTTTTTCCCAACTGAAGAACATCACAAAGTGTCTGTATGATCTCAGTAAATCTGAAGAGTTTGGTCAAAACTGGAGTGAATCAGCACTTCCCGAGCTTATAGTGGAAAATTTCGACGAAGAGCAGATATGGCAGCAGTTAGAACTTCAGAACAGTGGAGTGATTGATAATTTATTAACAAAAATAAGTCATTTAGTAACAGCTGCAGAGAAACAGCCCACAGAAAAATTAAAAGTTAAAGCAAGCAAAAATAATTCAGTTGACAAGGAAACAGTGAATTTTGGGGAGGATGATGAAGAAGAAGAGGAAGAACTTGTCAGTGATGACAGTGACAGAGTTGTGTTCAAGGGGAATAATGTGTTGGACATGGACAGTGATGATGACAGTGAAATTGACTTCAGATTTCCACAATCCAATCTGGCTCTCATGGAGGATGGGGAATCAGAGTCTGATGATGAGGACCTGATTAATAAAGAGACTTCTAAATCCAAAGGAGTGGAAACCAAGAAGAGGCAGGGGAGGAGTGTGGTGGATGACAAGTTCTTTAAGTTGGCAGACATGGAGAGTTTTCTGGAGCAGGAGGATGCTCGCGAGGAGAGGAGGAGGAGGGGAGAGGAGAGTGAGGAAGATGAAGAAGATGTAGACATGTTCGCAGACATCCCCTCTGATGAAGAGGTTAGGGAGGAACCTTTATTTTTATCTGTTCATTCTTGTGTTTATCAATATTTCTCATGCGTATGTAGATTGTACATGTCATATAGGCACCCAGTCTTGCTAGAGGTTCAAGATGAGATAATTTTTGTCGTGGCATCTTGTAAGGTGTATAAGGAACAAAGGGACATTAACCGAGGCTCTTACTTGAAGGAGTATCAATAATACTTTTATTTTAAAATAGTATTTCATAACAATTTTACTGTTTTTAAATATGTGATATATACAGTGTTGATATATGGTTTCAGGAAGGAGAAAGTGGGAAACAAATGTTCTATGATGACTTCTTTGATCCTCCTGAGGAACTGGAGGATTCAGGCCAACAAAAGAAAAAGTCAAAAGACTCCAAACGGTAACTCTTATGAGACATTTCTGCTTTTTTTTATGATAAATCATGTACTTGGTAGGAACATGTTCCTCTCTCCATATCATTCGAGTCCAAGAAGATAAGATGACCTCCCAGTCATTACTTTGAACCTGTTTTTGAGGAGGAGTTTGAACTCATATTTAAATCTAAAAATCTTTAAACATTTTCTAACAAGTCCACATTGCACTCTAGAGAATGTTTTGAGTTATTAGCTCCTTCATATTGTAATTGATTTGTTCATTTTCATATAATTTAGCATACATGCATTTCCCCAACTATTATACTGTAGAAGTTCACCTACATAAATTATAAAGTCTAACATTTCTATAAACTTTTGAAAGTAAATTGTTAAGTGTTACAAGAAAGGTACCTCAAATGAACAACTAATTGGTCTGTAAGTCTCATGTTAGATATAAGAAAATGCTTTGAGCCATAGAGCAATAAAATGTCATAAATACATGTAATTATGTGCAATAACATTTAAACAAATTTAGACCTAGAATAGACGACCAAGAAGAGGAGGGGGAGGGGGAAATGTTTGAGGAGGAAGAAATGGATGAAGAAGAAGACGAAGATAATGATACTGATGAAGAAGATGCTATTGAAGAGGAGGAAGGCGATGTTCCCAGACAGAGACCTCGAGATCTTCTGGACTCGGACAGTGAAGGTGAAGATCCAGAGGACGTACTGGGCAGAAAACCACAGGAAAAATCAACATTTGAGAAACAGCAAGCCCAGGTGAGGAGATTTGTCCACTCTTTCAAAATCTTGTGTTGTGTGTGTGTGTGGGGGGGGGGGGGGACAGTGGAAAACTATATACCCTTGGATCTTCAATTACGAGGGTATAATAAGACAATATTCATTTCAGAAATGTTCAGATTGTAAAGGATTGTAACATGAAGTTGATTGATACATTATTGTGATGTAGGCAACCTAAATTTTACAATATCAAATAATTGTTTCAAGCCAATCAAATGATGTAGTGTACTTACATTTTTCAGCTCAGGAAAAAAATAACAAAAATGGAGGAGGCAAGTCTAGCAGAAAAACCATGGCAACTGGCGGGAGAAATCGGAGCGACAGATCGACCCGAGAATAGTTTATTAGAAGAACACCTAATGTACGACCAAACTGTTAGACTTCGTAAGTAAAAAAAACACAAATTAGATAGAGCATATAAAAACTTACATGTGTAAATTATCGTTCACTCCATTAACATATCAAGTAAAGATATACATTTATTACAAGATTTTCTTCTATAGAGACAATGACTGTTTTTTTTGTGTGTATGAATCTCATAGATAAAATGAATTTTAAAAAGTTGTGTACTAGAGATGGTGAAGTTTTGATGATTTACTGTGAAAACTGTGACTAATTTAGTAATTATTCTTTTCCAGCCCCAGTGATTACTGAGGAAACAACCCAATCCTTGGAGAGCATCATCATGCAGAGAATCAAAGACAAGGTGAGGTACTACATGTTGTAATGTCGGTTTGTACCTATACAATTCCACCTAAAGAGGAATCTCATATTTTACCTTGCAGACTTTTACAATAGTGAATGCTGCCATAATTTCACAAACGATTATCTTTCCATAAAAAGAGAAAAAAAATCTGCTTCAGTTTGGTTTTTAGCTCTACTGGTCAGAGACCAGAAGAGCTTATGCGATAGTAATGCGTCCGTCGTCCGTCCGTCTGTCTGTCTGTCTGTCTGTCTGTCTGTAAACAATTTTTCAAAATGCTACTCCTCCTACAGTTTTGGTCCGATTTCAATATAACCTGGCACACAAGTAGACTACACCAAGATACATAATTTTGTGCATCGGTTTATGATTTGAAGGTGTTGCCGTGGTTACTAAAAATAGAAATTTCTGTGAAATTCGGTTTATGATTATAACTTGGCACACAAGTAGACTACACTAAGATACATAATTCTGTGCATCAGTTTTTGATTTCGATGAACGGTGTTGCCATGGTTACTAAAAATAGAAATTTCTCTGTGAAATTTTGGTCCAATTTCAATATTACTTGGGACACATGCTACACTAAGATACATAATTTTGTGCATCGGTTTTTGATTTCGATACAGTTTTGTGAAATTCTTTCGATTACTCAGTTTTGGTCCAATTTCAATATTACTTGGCACACAAGTAGACTACACTAAGATACATAATTCTGTGCATCAGTTTTTGATTTCGATGAACGGTGTTGCCGTGGTTACTAAAAATAGAAATTTCTGTTAAATTCTTTCTAAATGCTACTCCTCCTACAGTTTTGGTCCAATTTCAATATTACTTGGGACACAAGTAGACTACACTAAGATACATAATTTTGTGCATCGGTTTTTGATTTCGATGAATGGTGTTGCCGTGGTTACTAAAAATAGAAATTTCTGTGAAATTCTTTCGAAATGCTACTCCTCCCACAGTTTTGGTCCAATTTCAATATTACTTGGCACACAAGTAGACTACACTAAGATACATAATTCTGTGCATGGGTTTTTGATTTCGATTAACGGTGTTGCCGTGGTTACTAAAAATAGAAATTTCTGTTAAATTCTTTCTAAATGCTACTCCTCCTACAGTTTTGGTCCGATTTCAATGTAACTTGGCACACAAGTAGACTACACTAAGACACATAATTCTGTGCATCGGTTTTTGATTTCGATGAATGGTGTTGCCGTGGTTACTAAAAATAGAATTTTCTGTGAAATTCCTTTAAAACACTACTCCTTCTACAGTTTTGGTCTGATTTCAATTTAACTTGGCACACAAGTAGACTACACTAAGATACATTAAATAGTGCATCGGTTTTACAGGGTTCGACACTAACTTTTTTACCTTGGTGGACCACAGGTCCACTTGTCAAAAATTATTGGTGGACCTTCTTAATATCTGGTGGACCTTTATAAATGTTTTTATTTAATGAATGAATCATTACACAAGGCATTAATTAAAACTAACTTTAATATATACCGATTCCAGACAGACCAATAAAGCATAAATCTAACCATTCAACAGAATCAAATCAACATTAAGGACTAGTAAGAATTTTTTCAGAAATATTGTAAAACTTAAAAAAACAATTAATCTACAAACCAACGAAATATTTTAATAATTATTATTAAATCAAATTACAATGGTGAAAACCTGCATTTATTTCGCTTCCACAGGTAGATTAAATATGAAACTCCAATTACATGTATTAATTAATTTGTTTACCGGTAATTATTAAACAAGTGAATTTTTCATGTATCCCTGGCTAGATCATTTTTTTTTACTACAGTGCAAAACTGACATAGGTACATGTATCTGTATTAATTAATTATTTTCTAAATTTATTATTTATTCAAATAAGTAGTGAAATAATATGTATATCAAGAAAAGAAAATGAAGCTGCAGATAATAGTTAATTACGCCTGTTTGAACATCTATTTAAAAAAAAAAAACAATGCATAACTGCAGCTGTCAATCAATTCTAATTATCTCTGTGTGCGTTCAGGCGTGAAGCGATTTCCTGTTACCCAGTGTAATTTTCACACCTTTCTGTGCATTACGTAAACAGAGGAGAGACTGGCTAATTTGGCACAGATTTTACATGCTTTATTCAAGGTCCGTGTTGAATGTTCTTGCATCTCAATATTATTGTTAATATTGGAGTTTTCAAATTTACATGTAAAATATATCTAGTTGCTTGCCCCCCCCCACCTCATTACCTAAACATTATTTACATGTATATTTAATTCTGTATAATATAGGTATGGAGGAATTAATAATTTGAGTTACGGATTTCGATTTAAAGAAAAAGAAACCCTGAAATTTCACTGTCTTTGAATATGGTGTTTAAATTTTAAGTGGACCGACGGTCCACCTAGTCCTGAACATTTGGTGGACCTTCCAATTTTTTGGTGGACTCGGGCCGCCGGTCTACCGTTAGTGTCGAACCCTGGTTTTTGATTTTGATGAATGATGTTGCCATTAGTACTAAAAATAGAAATGTCCATGAAATTCCTTTAAAATATCACTCCTTCTACAGTTTTGGTCTGATTGCAATGGCTTCTTTTCTTATCCTTTGTTATAAGTACAAACCAGTAGAGCTACAGTCTCGACAGAGACTTCTGGTTTTTATTCTGTCCATAAACAAAGCATTTTTTTTCCAATTTTTATTTTTTTTTTGGGGGGGGCAACTGAAGATCATTCAATGAAAGCTTCTTTCATAAAACATATTATTTAACAGGCCTTTGATGATGTGGAGAGGAAAGTGAAACCCAAAGAGAATCCATTTGAGTATAAGAAGAGGATTGTACTGGACCAGGAGAAGAGCAAAATCAGTCTGGGGGAGGTGTATGAGCAGGAATATCTCAAACAACAGGTAGGTGATCAAGAATATCTCATACAACAGGTAGGTGAGCAGGTATCTCAACAGGTGAGTGAACAGAAATATCTCAAACAATAGGAAGGCAAGCGGAGCCACACAACTACAGGCTGATGAGTAGAAATATCTCAAACAGCATCTACAAACAGATGAGCAGGAATATCTTAAATAAATAGAGGTACATATAAGTGAGAAGGTATAACAACATATCATCAGAAAATCAGAAGGAATATCTCATAATAGACATTAAGTGAGCAGGGATATCTTTAACAGCCTCCAGTGCTAGGTAAGCAACAGTACATGTAACTTAAAACAACAGGGACATGTAAAGGAGCAGGTACATCTCAAATGATCAGTACTGATAAATTATATCCAAGATTTACAAAGTAAAAGCGGGGTTTGGAGTCACAGGAATCTCAGATTATTGAAGATGTCACCAACAAAATGTAGAATATATAATGTAGTAAGAGTTCTGTATCAAAATTATTGATTTCATGGACTTAAATTGAAAACATCAATAAAAGCTTTCATTTAATTAGACTGTAACAGGTACAAATTCATTTGTTAGGAAGAGAATGGTTACTCAGGTGAGCATTGTGGATCATGAGCCTCTTGTTTTTAAAACTGATATTGTGTTTAAATTGAATGTGATCTTTATTCTACAGAAGGAGGAGGGGGAAGAGAAGACAGACCCTCAACACGAGGAAATCAAATCAATGATGCAGTCCCTCTTTGTCAAACTGGACGCTCTGTCCAACTTCCATTACACCCCCAGGGCTGCGGCTCCGGAGGTGAAGATTGTGACCAACCTACCATCAATAATGATGGAGGAAGTGGCTCCCGTAACCCAGGGCGACGGAACTCTGCTGGCTCCAGAGGAAATCAAGGTTAGAGACTTTTATTTAATGTTGCTATCCCCTTAAAGAGCACATTATCTTAAGTACCAGTCCACATAAAAATCAGACAAAACTGTAAAAAAGTGATATATGAAGGTTCTCAGAATTTGATGATTTTTCACTCATAGATTTATTTTGAAGTATGAACAATGTATGTAAAATGAAAAATGTTTTGAGTCATGGTAACCATGGAAACCCGGCCAAAGAAATTTCCTTAGCAACCGGCGGATTTTTCAGTGTTGAAGGACAAAAAATCACCTATCTTTGAGGCTTAAAACAACACGTAAATACTATGAGAATTATTCTTACATATGGGTGTTACAAAGATACACATTTATTGTGTTCTAATAATGTAATAAAAAATATTTAGGTCTTAAGTCAGTTCTGTGGTAGACATTGGAAGGTACACATGTTTTACAAGTTTTGCTGATTCAGCATTTTTCGTGATTTTGGCAATATTCAAGGCCAAATTTTAAAAGATGGCCAGATTAATACACTTGTTGCATGTATCTCACATAAAAGCAGAGGTATTTCTCTTTTAGAATTTGAAGTCAAATCCATGGGCTCTTTTGAAAATCGAATCTGTTGCCTAGCAACAAAAATGGGCTTTTTGATGCATAAAATGAGAAACAATGTAAAAAGTTTACGGAAAAATCATATGAATGGTTATTTATGATAAACGAGATACAAATTTTAAAATAGTATAATTAAATTCGGTCTCCCTAGCATATTATTGAATATTGCATAATTCTTTATCTCCATAGCAACGACAGGTTCTCCATAGCAACAAGGCAAAGAAAGGTAATTTTGGCGTGTATTCGTGTAATCTTATTAAGACTTATTCAAAATAAGTCAGAAAAATCCGGTTGAGCAAAATTGGCAATGAAATGTTGGTTTTATTATTGTTATTTTTTGGGGGTACTTTTAAATCAACCCATATGGCAAGGATTCCGTGTACATGACAACCAAAGTTCCTATGTCTTCTGTAAAACAGATTTGACTTTGGGATTGTATTGTTTGTCATGGAATTGGATATTCAAGTAATATGCTGATAATTGCATGGTTATAGTGCGGAAAGACTTTAAAATGTTGTATCAGGTTATTGAATATTGTTCAATGAATTATTTCCATAGCAACAACACCACTCCCCTAGCAACGACACAAAGAAGGATATGGAGATAACAAACAGTATTCAATCTCAACGTCCATTAAACAATATACAAAATAAGAGCAGAGCAAACACGGACCTCCGAAACATCAGAGGTGGGATCAGGTGCCATGGAGGAATGAGCATCCCCTGCCGACTGGTCACACCCGCCGTGTGCTCTTTGTCATGATAAGGAAATAACGGAAAAAATCCGTTATCAATTCAGAGTATAAATAATGGATTAACAATTGGTATGAAAAACGTCAGTCAGCCTTTGACTCAATGATAAATTGTATTTGCTGACAAGGTCATTGTATCGACCATAGAATTTACGAAATGATGACTTTAAACGAGACTGTTGATATTCTTGTTTCATCAACTTGCTTGTCAATAATTTACCTCGTTTAAGAAATTGTTCATACGTAGAGCACGCTCTTGCGTATCGAATCAACTGAGATATGTATAAGAAAGAAAGATATATATATATATAAAGAAAGTTTGACGCATATTCATATTAACTGTAAGTCTTTATCTTAATCACGTCATGAAGAAAAAAATGATGTTGAAATGTTTGTTTTTCGAAAGTATTTTTAAACTCATTTAATCCATAACAACTATTTCTAGCACATTACTCAGCAAACAATGTTACATTTTCAGTATGGGATACTCTGTAGTCGTTATTCATAATATTGAAAGATAAGGCACTCGTCATAGATTTCTCAGAAAGTATTACAATGTATGAATTAATTCCTCATGAAAATGAATGGATAAATAAAACAAGAGGCCCACGGGCCTTATAGGTCACCTGAGTATCATGTAACAACTTTCCAGCGATTGTATTTGGTTCGTGTTTTAAGCCAAAAGCCATGAAATTCACAAATTTTGAAAGAGGCACCATTGCTTATCAAAGGGCAGATTTCAAAGCATTAATTTATTTTTAGTCAAAGTACCCCCCTGGTACCCCTGACCCAGCGGCCCTGAAATTATCTATTTTGAAAGAGGCCCCTTTCTTCATTATAAGGCCAGCATTTTTGTTTAGGTTTAGTTATGAACATGAGAATCAAAAAGTCCCGAAGGAGAAGGAAATAAAAAAAAATTAATAAATCAATTATTAACATTTGTACATTCTTTTTTTATGCTATCCTAATAGGCTCTTAACCACTGGACACACAATGCTTACAAATAGGAAAGTAGAACATTTAATTGCTTATTTCATCATCTGCCAGTTTGGGCCAGTTATATAACTTTTGTGATGTTGATCAAACTATATTTTAAAAAATCAATTCTTTAAAAGTCTTTCAATATATCTTCATTTTTTTAATATGTGTTAGGTGAATGTGTAGACATTGTTCTAAAATTTACTTGATGCCTAAAATTATAATTCCTATCATGAAACAGACAGGGAGTATTGCGGAGTAGGGTGAACATTTTTTCAATTAAGTTTAAAATAATTTTTCTGGCTGATACAAATGATACTACATGCCTGTATATATTTGTATATTCTTGCCTTTTAATAGTTGAATTTTTTTATTTCTTCAGGTTATTGTTTATTTCTTCCTCAAATGGACTTAACTTCTCCCATAGTTTTATTCATTACATCTGATGCATAAGCAACCCTTTTCTAAAGAATGATGCTTAGACTGTAAGCTATAACAGAGACCTAAACAATGTCGCTGGCAATATGCAATAGCTACCACGGGCAGTTTAAAACCTGGGGGAGGAAAATAATTTACAGACATTTACTTTTGAAACGAATACATGATTATCTCACCAGCATGTCATTGTGCAACAAAGTCGTCAGCATTTTATTTGTCCTTTGAACGGGTGAAACGTTTTGAATGGCACTCTTGTCGATGAATTTTACACTAAACCAAGCTATCTTCTCAGATCTAGCTTCATTTACCCGCCGTTTCATCGTAAAACCGGAAGTACGAGTTCGTAAATTTGAAATCTCGATCCCGACTCAAATTTGACATTGGAAAGAAATTTTTTTATATTTTTTTCTGAAAATCCAAAACCTTGAGCGGAGGGTTTGTAAAACTGAAAATAAAATAAATCCTGGCCTTAAATATGTAATTAGATCATTAGCATATTGACCAGGAGCAAAGAATAAGATGTTCAAAGAATTCATGCATTTCACTATATAATCATTAGAGCTCCACCCTAAAACAAGAACCCCTGACCCTGGGGCCATAAAATTCACAATTTTGGTAGAGGCACTCTTGCTCGTCATAACTATGCACTTAGTTAATCTATTTAATACTCAGGAGCAGAGAAGAAAATTTTCAAAGAATTCATTTATTTTCACTATATAATCAAAAGAGCCCCTCCCTAACACCAGAACCCCTGACCCTGGGGCCATAAAATTCACAATTTTGGTAGAGGCACTCTTGCTCATCAAAACTTTGCACTTAGTTAGTCTATTTAATACCTAGGAGCAGAGAAGAAGATTTTCAAAGAAATAATGCATTTTCAGTATATACTTATTTAGCCCCGCCCTAGCACTAGAACCCCTGACCCCAGGGCCATGAATTTCACAATTTTGGTAGAGGACTTAATGCTGATTACAATCATGCAAACAGTTTGACTGCTTGATGTCCAGGAGTAAAGAAGAAGATTTTTAAAGATTACACAAATTTTAGTGGTTTTGGCCCCACCCCTCAGGCCCCAGGGGGGCAGGGATTATGAAATTCAAAATTTTTGTTCCCCTTCAGCCATAGATGCTTTGTGCCAAATTTGGTTGAAATTGGATCAGTGGTTGCAGAGAAGAAACTGAAAATGTTCAAATGTTAACGCACGACGAACGACGACGGACGAAAACAGATAATGAATAACGTCACTATGGAAATATTTCCAATGATATTTCCAATTGAATAGGAAGATCAGGTTTTAATTATTTTATTGATACTTGTCATAGATTGGAGAGGTTTTTTTTTCAAACAAAAAGAACGGTTCGCGGTAGCTCAAAGGTAGCACCTACTGCCTCCCACAGTGGGATTCGAACCCGCGACGTAAGGATCAGTGACTCTAGTGAAGACGCTCTAACCACTGCTCCATGAGGGCGACGCGGCACATTAAAATAAATCAAAATGAAAGAAAAAGTGAGCTAGCTCACATACCCCACGCTCCCCCAAAACTTGACAGTGATACACATAATGAAAGGCACAGCTAGTGCACTTTAAATACATAGTATAGATCAAAAAGGGCAATACATGTAATTGCAAAAAATTTTCACATCAAAATGTCTTGCATATAAGGACATTTAAATGTGGAATGAAGTTTCTAGATAAATAATGGAATCAAAATTTCTTGGCATTATACAAATCCAAACATTAATTTGAAGTGGTTGGGGGGGGGGGGGAGAAATTTTCTTGAATAATAGGCAAAACTCTTTGGGATAAAATAATGGAATATGTCCTAAATATCTGCATAGGTGGAAGAAACTATGTACAACAGTTTAAGAGGAGTGGTGCTGACAAACTGTTCATCTGTATATTCAAAATATGGCCAAAAAGTCTAAGTTGGAAAGTGTGGAAATTCCCGGAAAAATAAAGGAATCGGAATTTCCTGGTAATATGCACATCTACATATTGTGTTCTAAATATCTACAAAGTTTAACGATATTCTGTCCAGTGGTTTATGAGGAGCTGCGCTGACAATCTGTTCATCTCTATATAAAAGGTATGGCCAAAAAGTCTAAGTTGGAAAGTGTGGAAATTCCCGGAAAAATAACGGAATCAGAATTTCCTGGTAATATGCACATCTAAATATTGTGTCCTAAATATCTGCAAAGTTGGACGAAATTCTGTGCAGTGGTTTATGAGGAGTTGCGCTGACAAACTGTTTATCTCTATATAAAAGGTATGGCCAAAAACCTAAGTATTTAGTGCGGAAAGTCCCAGAAAAAATAATGGAATCAGAATTTCCTGGAAATATGCACATCTACATATTGTGTCCTAAGTACCTGTAATGTTTGACGAAATTCTGTGCAGCGGTTTATGAGGAGTTGCGCTGACAAACTGTTCATCTCTATATTCAAGGTATGGCCAAATGCCTGAGTTAAAAAGTGCGGAAATTCATGGAAAAAATAATGGAATTGGAATTTCCTGGGAATATGCACATCTACACATTATGTCCTAAATACCTGCAAAGTTTGACGAAATTCTGTGCAGCAGTTTATGAGGAGTTGCGCTGACAAACTGTTCACCTCTATATTCAAGGTATGGCCAAATGCCTAAGTTAAAAAGTGCGGAAATTCCCGGAAAAAATAATGGAATCGGAATTTCCTAGTAATATGCACATCTACACATTGTGTCCTAAATATCTGCAAAGTTTGACGAAATTCTGTGCAGCGGTTTATGAGGAGTTGCGCTGACAAACTGTTCATCTCTATATTCAAGGTATGGCCAAATGCCTAAGTTAAAAAGTGCGGAAATTCCCGGAAAAAATAATGGAATCGGAATTTCCTGGTAATATGCACATCTACACATTATGTCCTAAATACCTGCAAAGTTTGATGAAATTCTGTGCAGCGGTTTATGAGGAGTTGCGCTGACAAAAAAAGAGGACTGACTGACGGACTGACTGACTGACTGACTGACTGACTGACTGACGGACGGGTCAAAAACATTATACCTCCCGCAACTAGTTGCGTGGGGTATAATAAGAAAAGTCACATCGCAGTCAGTTACGGCTATTTACGTAAAATTGAAGTTTACACCATTTGAAAGAAATATTGCAAGATGTCCAAAGCTAGATCAAATACAAATGAATTTAAAACATGGGTAGTCACACAAGTAGAAACTTTATTTTTGTATATTGTTTGGTGAGATTTGCATTAATGCAGTGCAAACATATTTTAAAAATTATGCAAATGATGGTCAGAGGGTCATCCTCATGTATCTGGTTAGTTCATATCTTAAAATGGAAATATTATGCAACAAAATCAAAATAATTGACACCAAACTCATCCATGTAACACAGGGCCCAATGGCCACATCGCTCACCTGAGCACTGTGGCTAGGAAAAATCAATTCAGCATGTTCAGTAAATGCCTAAAGGTCCCGATCTTAACAGAAGGGGGGGGGATGATTTGAACAAACTTGAATCTATGCATACTTGAATCTACACTAAGGGTGCTTATATATTTTTGACTAACTGTGGCTTTATTCCAAATAAGTTATGTACTTTTGTGGTCCCACCAAATCCTGGGGGTCATGATTTTAACAATTCTTTATCTAAACTACCTGAGGATGCTAACATTTGAACAAGACCAATCAAAATTTTTACATATTTTTCCTATATATTCCTATGTAAAACTTTGATCATCCATTGTGGCTGTACCCCCGAGGGTCATGATTTGAACAAATTTGAATCTACATTACCTGAGGATGCTCCATATACACATGACCAATCATGGCTTTGCTGTTATTAAGAAGAAGATTTTTCCTATATATTCCTATGTAAAATGTTGGTCGTCCATTGTGGCTCTACCCTACCACCAGGGTTCATGACTTGAATAAACTTGAATGTACACTACCTGAGGATGCTTCTACATATGTTTCATCTTTCCTGGCCCAAAGTTTTTACATTGATACCAGTAATTTATATTGATATGGTGGCAAGAAGTATTATAAAATTCAAGTCCATTCCCCTCCCTTCCCCAAGTAAACTTTTGAGTGCTGAGCTGATTTGTTTTTACCTAGCCAATGTGCTCAGGTGAGCAATGTTGGAGGTTGCTCCCACTACTTTGATATGCGTTGCTATGGGCCTGTTTTCTGGATAATAGCGTTTGAAGCTCCAGAGCTACAGATTCCTTGTGAACTGAATAAGTGTCAGCTTCCCAACAACAAGTTAAAGATACAAGCTTATAAATATCTTATCTTTTGAAAAATGGAAATTATCTCAAATGAACACAATATATGCTAGATAAACATTACCAGGGTTAAGGATTTTATTAGGTGTACACAATTTTGTGTGCTTGCTCATTTCGTATTCATGTTTTCTTTCACTGCATTTAATTCCAGTATTTTGCATAGGATTTCCGACATGCTTAAAATTTCAATTCCGACAATTTTATTTCATTTCCGACATTTTTGTATTTCTTGGATATCTGCAGGATCCCTTACTGACAATTTTTTTGCTTGCCAAACAGCTGGAAATAAAATTTTTAATAATTTTTTTTCATGTTCAAAAAATAAAAACATATTTATAATTTAATACATTCTTATACAAGTAGCAATATTACTTAAATTAATATCTTTTCCTCTGCTACATGTACAGGCGTAATTGTGATGTGTTTGATTAAAAACATCCTACTGTCTTTTTGAGAATTCCTTCAACGATGATTGTTTTTTCTATGGCCGTGTAAGAGGCGGGGGGGGGGGGGGGGGGGGGCGCTATTATGCCGATACTTAGCTATAGAATACTATTGAAAACTTCACTACAATATACATGTGCCCCCTCAATAATAATAATATCTGACGAACTTCTATTTTTTGGTTTGTTTGCCAAGGAATTTTCGGTTGTTGATAGTGCCCAAACTGAAAATATATGGTTGTAACCCCCACCCCCACCCCCGAAATTGCTTACTAAGGGTCTGTATTTACCAGAAGTGGTTTCTGTATGCCTTTTAATTTCCATCCTTGCATATCTGAGTTCAAACTTAAAACTGCACTTTAAAAGGGAGATGAGCCTCTGAAAATTTCAGGTCACCTGAGTCTTTCAGGTGACCTATTGCTATCTCTGTTTGTTCATCGTCGTACGTCATTCGGCGGTCGTAAACATTTGAACATTTTTAGCTTCTTCTCTGGAACCACTGAACCAATTTCAACCAAATTTGAAATAACCCATCTATGGGTAAAAGAGGAACACAAGATTGTGAATTTCAGGGTCCCTGAGGCCTGAGGGGTGGGACCAAAACCACTAAAGTTAATGTAGTCTTTAAAAATCTTCTTTACTTCTAGACATCAAGCAGTGAAACTGTTTGAATGATTGTAATAAGCATTGAGTCCTCTATGCTGTACCATTAGTAAAATTCTTTGCCCCAGGGTCAGGGGTTCTATATGCTAGGGCTGGGTTAAATAGATTATATAGTGAAAATACATTATTTCTTTGAAAATCTTCTTCTCTGCTCCTGGGTAAAATTAATTAAGTACATAGTTACCATAAGAAAGAATTCCTTTGAAAAATACATAGTTATGGTGAGGAAGGGTGCCTCATCTAAAATCGTGAACTTCATGGCCCCAGGGTCAGGAGTTCTGGTGTTAGGGTGCAGGGCTCTTTTGATTACATGGTAAACATGCATTTTTAAAATGAAAATTCTTCTTCTCTGTCCCTGGGTATTAAACAACTAACTACATGCGTAGTTACAATGATAAAGAGTGCCTCTTTGAAAATTGTGAATTTCATGGCCAAATTAAAGGATCAGGTTGTGAATTTCATGGCGCAAGGACAAGGATTTCTGGTGTTACTTAGGGTGGGGCTCTAATCATCAAATGGTGAAATTGCAATAAATTTTTGATAATTAATCTTCTTCTTTGCTCCCAGGTATTTAACAAACAACTACAGACATATAGTTATGATATAGCTATGATCGTTCTTCCAGGATTGTGAATTCCAAGCCCCCCGGAACAGGGGTATCATAGAGGGCTGGGGTTGGGGAGTGTCTTTGACTATTAACTAAAAATGAATTATTTCTTTGAAATCCACTCCATGATGTTAATAAAACATTTTTGATGAGCAAGAATTGTGAAATGTGTGGACCTGAGGGTCAGGGGTTCTTGTGGGTTGGGGACACTACTGAGTAATGCTGAATATTACTTAGAGTGTTTGAAATGCATTTTTATTCCCCTACTCTGTCTATAGTTATAAAGTTACCCAACTACAAAACTTGTAAAACATGTGTACCTTCCAATGTCTACCACAGAACTGACTTAAGACCTAAATATTTTTTATTACATTATTAGAACAAAATAAATGTGTATCTTTGTAACACCCATAAGTAAGAATAATTCTCATGGTATTTACGTGTTGTTTTAAGCCTCAAAGATAGGTGATTTTTTGTCCTTCAACACTGAAAAATCCGCCGGTTGCTAAGGAAATTTCTTTGGCCGGGTTTCCATGGTTACCATGACTCAAAACATTTTTCATTTTACATACATTGTTCATACTTCAAAATAAATCTATGAGTGAAAAATCATCAAATTCTGAGAACCTTCATATATCACTTTTTTACAGTTTTGTCTGATTTTTATGTGGACTGGTACTTAAAAAGATTCAATCACTATTATCATTAAAGTTACATTAAAGTATGATTTTTTGGCTGACTAGTGACAGATTGCTTCATGTATCTAGAATTTCACTGTAATTAATAATTAAAGAAGAATGTACAATGTTTTAGATAAGGCCTATAAGGAAAGACTGGATTGATATTCACTAAGAATGTACATAAAAGAAAATTAAAAGTTGAAAGGAATAGAGTGGATTAAATATTACATGTAATACAAATCGGGAAATTACAGGATAAAAAGAAAGGTGAACTGAAAGGAAAAACAGAAGAGACGGAAACTGATAAGAAATCTCAGAGACGGAATAAAAAGACTGAGAAGAGGAAACGACAACGAGAGAAGAAGAGGCGTCAGGCCTTAGTGGAGAAATTGAATCCAGGCCTAGGAAACAAATATAGCAAGGAAAAGGCCATCAAAGAGCTAGAGAAAAGCAGCAAGTCAGGGTCAGGGGTCACCATGCTCAAGGTCAGGGTCATATATTGAATAAAACTTGCATTTCTATTTTGAAGAATGTTTGAAATGTTTTATAAAATAATGTCATTAAAATTCTATAATCTAAAGCTTTTATGTTAAATTTTGCATTATATTGATAGAGTTGACATTTAATCCATTATAACTTATGTAATTATAGGAGGACAAGACTGCCGGCAAACAGAAACTTGGATCCTCCCGTTCATTTTTCACACAACTACAAGAGGATGCTCAGTCACAGATCAAAAAGAGAAAAGCTGGTCCCAGCAGTAAAAAAACTGTACAGAAATCTGCTAAGATATATAAATTATGATATTATGATGTCTTGGTTTTACTTTATATTATTCTGCTGACTCAGCATATTGCCAAATTATAGAGGAATCCCAGCCGAAGCCCTATCTTTGGGGAATGCAGATAAACTTCCAGGAACTACTTGTATAAGTGTTGATGTACAGAAAAAACAAGGTGTTTGTGAAACACTGATGCCTGACAAAGGTTAAAAGTTTCTCAAGTCAAAATCAAAGGTCAAGGGTTAAGAGATAAAAAGAATTGTAAGCAAGGTATTCATGTCATACACGTGAAATATCAATGTTTGAGCCCCAACAGTCACAGCTTGTGGGTGAGGTTAGTTTTTGTGGAGAAACAGACAGAGAGACAGACAGAGCCGATACTGTATGATCCCAATCTTTGAAAAGGTGGCATTAAAATACAAATTTTACATTTTATAATGATACAGTCAAATATATGCTAGAATTCTGCAATGAAATGAAAACCATATTGCCTATAGATCTGTGTTTACAGTCCATCTGTTAACACACCTCTAACTTTTCAGCTAATAAATGTTTGTATTTAAGTGGATTGAAGATTTGACAAAAACAATTTCAAAAACAGCATGAAGTCCAACAATAAACAAGCAAATTCAAAGAATTGTGGTCCCCCACTTTTGGTGTCTTTGTGGGTGAGATGTCATTTTTATGACATATTTTGTCTAAATAATATGAACACTCTATCGTATATAATTTATTTAGAAATTATCACTGAAGTTGATTTTTTTTTATAAATAGGGTCATTAATGAAGGTCAAGGGGTAAGAAATCATAGCATGCTCAAAATATCTTTGATACAGGTAATGCACATGTCACAAGAAATACGATTGTGAAATACAAAATCCCTAGCACCATCTGTTCAAAAGTTATGGTCAAGGATAAATATTTGAAAGGTATGCCTAACTCCAAGGTGAAAGGGTCTGTCAGTGACTTGTTGATTTCTTAAAAAAAGGTAACAAGTAATACATATGTGAAGGATGAAAATCCTAACCCTAACTGTTCAATAGTTATGGCCAAGGTAAAAGTTTTTGAAAAGTAGGTTAAACTCCAAGGTCAAGGTCAAAGGGTCAAAGTTCGTGGTATCCAATGAAAGATCTTCTCACAAGAATTAGATGTGAATTATAAAAGCCCTAGCCCTTACTATTCAAAAGTTATGATCAAGGTTAAAGTTTTTTCATAAGTACGGAAATCTCCAAGGTTTAAAGTCAAAAGGTCAAAGTATTTGGTTTCCAATGAAAGGTCTTGTCACAAAGAATACATATGTGAAGTATGAAAGTCCTAGTATCTACCAATCAAAAGTTATGACGAAGGTCAAAGTTTTTGAAAAGTAGGTCTTACTCCAAGGTCAAGGTCAAAGGGTCAAAGTTCGTGATATCCAATGAAAGGTCTTATTACAAGAATTACATATGTGAAGTATAAGCCCTAGCCCTAACCATTCAAAAGTTATGGTCATGGTTAAAGTTTTTTCATAAGTACAGAAATCTCCAAGGTCAAGGTCAAAGTTGTTGGTATCCAATGAAAGGTCTTGCCACAAAGAATACATATGTGAAATATGAAAGTCCTAGTATCTACCGTTCAAAAGTTGTGACCAAGGTCAAAGTTTTTGAAAAGAAGGTCAAACTCCAAGATCATGACAACATTTCTATTCATAAAAATTAGCATCTTCCCACAAAGACACCGAAAGTGGGGGACCACACTTCTTTGAATTAGCTTGTTCTATTTATAGGTACTTCTATGCCCTATGCTTCCAGTGTGTTTCGTTGTACCAGTCAAGGTTTCAGATGCTGCAATTTCAGCTAAAGAATGTCAAGGTTAATGTTTTTTGTGCAGATCTTGTTTCAAAGTAATCACATACATGTAGATCTATGTTGACCAAACTTACATGGGTGATACATCTAAGGATACATGCTACCAGACTTGCTTCAGATGCTGATTCTGACCTACATTTTCGAAATAAGTGAACAGGTTACAAGTTTTTGGAGCAGGTCTCATTTCCATTAAGAAGCTATGAGACCTATGTTGACCAAACTTGCATGGATGATAATCATGATACATCTAAGGGTGCACACTACCAGGCTTGCTTCAGATGCTGGATCTAACCTACATTTTCTTGATGAGAGAACAGGTTCAAAATTTTTGGAGCAGGTTCATTTTAAAGTAACTATGAGCCCTATGTTGACAAAACCTGCACAGATGATACATATAAGGAGCACACTATCAGGCTTGCAGGTGAGTGATTTTGGGATGTGCACTTCTAGATAATTAATTTAATTTGAGACTTACTTAAAGACAAACATTCGTTGAGGTGAGCTCTGTTATCTCTGATTACCTATGTTTTTTTCAAAAAAGTTCAAACACATTTTCAATTGTTTATAAAAATAATTTAAATAGGTACAAGTCCATTAGTATCGACTATAACTTTAACAAACAGTGTATCCTCTCTTATGTAATTTCCAGAATTTTCTAAGATAGAATGGCTGACAAACAAAGGACAGCCGGAAGCTATGTTCATTTCTGCTAGTGGTCGTTTAAAACTAGAACTACTGGGATCAGGTTTAAATGAATCCGATAAATGTCTCCTAGTCCCACTCTGGTCAATAATCAGAAACGTCACTTTCTGCCGGAATGGCCACGGCAACAGAGCATCATACTCCCCCTGCATGACAACGAAAAAAATGGATAAATGTGTTCCTTTGCCCATTCCATCACCATTAAGATAAATTCGAGCACACATTTTGTATCCATAACGATTCGTAAAAAATGGTGAACTGTAAATAGACAGAGTCTTTCCTGACACAGCTTCTTGTTTTCGCCGACGGTAGTTTGTAATTTTCCAGAATAATACACCTTCATAATTTATGGTCTCTAAGATCTGGAATCGGAGATCCAGTTCAGCCAGTCTGGCATCCTGTAGTCCTAGTGACCGTACTTGTTGTTGAATGTCTGTGTACAGATCTATAAATCAAAAAAAATATTGTAGTTAAAAACCATTAGAATTTAGTTAAGTGGGGGTCTAATTTTGGCATCCTTGTTGCTACATTGTAGGCCATATCTTATTAAATATGAATTTGTCAAGGAAAGAATGTAGAAATAAAGAAGGTGCTAAATATCACTGCAAGCAATCCAGTTAGTTGTGTACCTGATGAAGCAGGAGTGGCAGTTGCAGTAGCTCCCCCTTGTTCTGACGTATGGATCGTCCTGAGCTCGTTGGCTCGGTCCTTCAATCGTCGGATGTTCTCCCTCAGGATGTTAACGTCACTGATGGTCCTCTTGTAACTCTCTGGCTGGGCTAGTTCTTCCACCTGCTTCTCTGCGTGAATAATCCGCTCCGTCAATTCCACTACATCAATCTGTTCACAGAAACCACTGTGGGTTTTAATGTTTAGACTAGATAGAATTTAGTAAAAATTTATTAATTTCTTTTTAATTCAGATTCTATTATCTTAAAGTCTTGCTAGATCAGCATGTCCTTTTCACAAGGCTCAAATTTTTCAAAAATTTTATTTCAATTTGATCTGAATGACCCTAACCTTGAATTTACGACTGAGTCTCTTGATATCATCAGCCAGGCGACGGACTTCCTCTATCTCTTTTCTCGCTTCACTCACTTGTTGTCGCGCCTCCTGGCGTATGCTTTCCATTTCCTGAAGGTAAAAGAAGTTCTATAAACTATGTGCAAAGCTTTTTATGGGCTATTTTTTACTGAAGGAGATAGAAGCTTTTTGGTAAATGACAGACTGAGCCACACCTGGACCTCTCTTCTGATGTCTATACTGTGTAGGTCTATCTTACCTGGACCTCTCTCCTGATGTCTATACTGTGTAGGTCTATCTTACCTGGACCTCTCTCCTGATGTCTATACTGTGTAGGTCTATCTTACCTGGACCTCCCGTCTGATGTCTATACTGTGTAGGTCTATCTTACCTGGACCTCTCTTCTGATGTCTATCCTGTGTAGGTCTATCTTACCTGGACCTCTCTTCTGATGCCTATACCGGGTAAGTCTATCTTACCTGGACCTCTCTTCTGATGTCTATACTGTGTAGGTCTATCTTACCTGGACCTCTCTCCTGATGTCTATACTGTGTAGGTCTATCTTACCTGGACCTCTCTCCTGATGTCTATACTGTGTAGGTCTATCTTACCTGGACCTCCCTTCTGATGTCTATACTGTGTAGGTCTACCTTACCTGGACCTCTCTTCTGATGTCTATCCTGTGTAGGTCTATCTTACCTGGACCTCTCTTCTGATGCCTATACCGGGTAAGTCTATCTTACCTGGACCTCTCTTCTGATGTCTATACTGTGTAGGTCTATCTTACCTGGACCTCTCTCCTGATGTCTATACTGTGTAGGTCTATCTTACCTGGACCTCTCTCCTGATGTCTATACTGTGTAGGTCTATCTTACCTGGACCTCCCTTCTGATGTCTATACCGTGTAAGTCTATCTTACCTGGACCTCTCTTCTGATGCCTATACCATGTAAGTCTATCTTACCTGGACCTTTCTCCTGATGTCTATACCGTGTAGGTCTATCTTACCTGGACCTCTCTCCTGATGTCTATACTGTGTAGGTCTATCTTAGCCATTTGTAATGTGACTTGTTGGAGATGTACTTCTGTATATAACATGTCTCTCATTCCACCTCTCAGCTTCCATAAACCATCCATGTCAGCTAGGCCCCTACAATATATAAACACATAACACATTACAATATATAACATGTCAGTAAGACCATACAGTACAACCTTCCACCTCTCAGCTAGCCCCTACAACATAAATAACACATTACAATATATAACATGTCAGTAAGATGATACAGTACAACCTTCCACCTCTCAGCTAGTCCCTACAATATAAATAACACATTACAATATATAACATGTCAGTAAGACCATACAGTACAACCTTCCACCTCCTCAGCTAGGCCCTACAATATAAATAACACATTACAATATATAACATGTCAGTAAGACCATACAGTACAACCTTCCACCTCTCAGCTAGCCCCTACAAAATAAATAACACATTACAATATATAACATGTCAGTAAGATGATACAGTACAACCTTCCACCTCTCAGCTAGTCCCTACAATATAAATAACACATTACAATATATAACATGTCAGTAAGACCATACAGTACAACCTTCCACCTCCTCAGCTAGTCCCTACAATATAAATAACACATTACAATATATAACATGTCAGTAAGACCATACAGTACAACCTTCCACCTCCTCAGCTAGGCCCTACAATATAAATAACACATTACAATATATAACATGTCAGTAAGACCATACAGTACAACCTTCCACCTCTCAGCTAGCCCCTACAACATAAATAACACATTACAATATATAACATGTCAGTAAGATGATACAGTACAACCTTCCACCTCCTCAGCTAGACCCTACAACATAAATAACACATTACAATATATAACATGTCAGTAAGATGATACAGTACAACCTTCCACCTCCTCAGCTAGGCCCTACAATATAAATAACACATTACAATATATAACATGTCAGTAAAACCATACAGTACAATCTTCCACCTCCTCAGCTAGGCCCTACAATATAAATAACACATTACAATATATAACATGTCAGTAAGATGATACAGTACAACCTTCCACCTCCTCAGCTAGGCCCTACAATATAAATAACACATTACAATATATAACATGTCAGTAAAACCATACAGTACAACCTTCCACCTCCTCAGCTAGTCCCTACAATATAAATAACACATTACAATATATAACATGTCAGTAAGACCATACAGTACAACCTTCCACCTCCTCAGCTAGACCCTACAATATAAATAACACATTACAATATATAACATGTCAGTAAGATGATACAGTACAACCTTCCACCTCCTCAGCTAGGCCCTACAATATAAATAACACATTACAATATATAACATGTCAGTAAAACCATACAGTACAACCTTCCACCTCCTCAGCTAGTCCCTACAATATAAATAACACATTACAATATATAACATGTCAGTAAGACCATAAAGTACAACCTTCCACCTCCTCAGCTAGTCCCTACAATATAAATAACACATTACAATATATAACATGTCAGTAAGATGATACAGTACAACCTTCCACCTCCTCAGCTAGCCCCTACAATAAAATCCAGGTAAGTAAGACAACCTTTCTGAGTAATACTGTACAGTATAACATCTCTAAGTAACATGGTACAATACAACTTATGTATGCTGGTACAATACAAACTATGTATTCTGGCACAATACAACCTATGTATGATGGTACACTACAATCTATGTATGCTGGTACAATACAATATATGTATGCTGGTACAATACAACCTATGCATGCTGGTACAATACAACCTATCGAAGTAAGAAGGTACAACACAACCTTTCTGAGTAGTACCGTACAGTATAACATCTCTAAGTAACACGGTACAATACAACCTATGTATGCTGGTACAATACACCCTATGTATGATGGTACAATACAACCTATGTATGCTGGTAAATACAACCTATGTATGATGATACACTACAACCTATGTATGATGGTACAATACAATCTATGTATGCTGGTACAATACAACCTATGTATGATGGTACAATACAATCTATCGAAGTAAGAAGGTACAACACAGCCTTTATGATTAAGACAATACTGTTAATCCTGGACTGTACCTTAATGGGGTATATAGGTCAAAGCGCTCATTTTTAGCCTTAATTTCTAATAAATCCATAGATAGGGTGAATTCGGAACATAAGACAAGGCCAGATAGCTCAGTTGGTAGAGCACCTGACTGGAAAATCCAAAGGTCCAGGTTCTAAACCTGGTCTGGTCCCCTGAATTTTTCTCCTCTCTTATTAAAGACAACATCCAAAATATGAGCAATAAATCATTTTAATTTTTAAAATGTCTACATACAGTGTAAAAGACTTACATTTTCAACAGACAATTGAATAAAACGTTCCTACAACTTTGTAGGTTCCTATAGTTGTTTTGTAAAACATATTATTGCCTAAAACATCCTGATTATAAAGGGGGATAACTTTGATTTTTCCTGTTGTTAAATGTTGTTACCTGAAATGTGCAGCCTGCAGAAGCATATTTACAGATCCGGGGCTTCCTTGGACAGGTGTCCTGATGCTGTGATATCTGATAGATAAAAATTCACTTGATTAACCATTAATAGTGGGTATTTAAAATAAACAAAAGATTGTCATACTAGTAAAATACACATTGTGTCATGGCTATATACACTTACGTGTATTATGGTTATAGAAAATTATCTATATATTCACAACAGAATATTGAAAATATGAGATAAAAGAAATACCTGATCTCTTGGAATTGGGGCAGTATTACAACCATATTCACAGTTAATGGGAATTTTCATACAGTTTTCTTTCTCATGTGCCTAAAAGAAAATTTGAGTTGTTATACCTTTGTAATTTTATAAATATACAAACACTTTTACAGTAATTGTTCATCAAATTATGGTTAAGTATATATTTTTTTATATACATGTACGTATGTATACATATTGTAGTGTGCTGAACATCATTATGTTTAAAAGGAAACTTGTTTTTGCCATCTAACTCAGCATCTTGATATTGAAGCAAGTAAACAGATGACCTCTGTTATCTATCTATTTTAAAAGTCATACTTGTAATGATTCCTGTGGAATGGTTTGTCCACAGTACTGACACTGAGTGGGGATGAATGGACAGTCTCGCTGATGGTCAGTCAGACTCGATCTGTCCACTATCTCCTGACATCCCCAATCCTTGTACGGACAGGACAAAGGTTCATGTGGACATTCTTCTGTGTGCTTCTGAAATTAGAAATTTGAAAAAATTAAAACAAGGAATAAAGCAAGTGAATAAAATTGCATAAGCCTATAAAAATGCTCTGATTCTCATTTAACAGCATTACAGACTTCAACATATAAAATGCATATAATCAAAATCTTTGGGCACGTTTTGTCTACAGTAAAATATCTTTTTTTCAGTACATGCTTTCACACCTCTAGTTCTTTCCACTTGACAATTTTTTGGCATCCCCTGACTTGATTTGGACAGTAAACCTTCAGCTGCCGAATCTCTCTACGAGCACTGGTATCTGGTATTATCTAAAACACATAAAAAAATTCAGAATCTACATTCAAAATCTGTACATTTTTCAATTCTATCATATTTCTCTGATGATCAAAATGATTTTCGTAGTGATTTGATTGTCCTACTGACTGACTTAAATCATTTATTTATTGATTTTATTTTGAAATAGAGATTTTCTCCGAAACAGATATATACAGACTAAAATGGTATGTCACAGTAAATGCATGTTCAGTATTTTGGTGCCTTTACAGTAGTTCAGCTTCATGCTCATCTAATGCAAACCAATAACTGTCATTTCCAGACTCGTTTTGAACTCCTTCAAAGTTTTCAAGGGCAACTTAATTTGCTTACACATTTTTATGCCTATTATGTTAAGAGCACATAATCCACAAATACTGTACATAAGAAAATTAAATTCTATGATATATTCAGCATATTTACCCCCTCTTTCTGCAGCATTTCACACATTTCCTCCTGGTAAGGACACTGTCTGATGCCCCCCGCCTGGAGGTAATTGTCAGCGCAGGACTGACAGAGTTGGTGTCCACAAGGGGTTTGTACCGCATCATGAAGTACGTTGTTACACAGGATACATATGTACTTTGGATTAACCTCTACAAACTGGGGGTGACCGGGAGGGGTTTGGGAGGACAAACTGTTGGGAGGGGTTATCTGCGGGGTCAACATTGATTACTGGTTCAACTTGATCTTTTCATCTAAGAGCAAACTGCAAAATAAAATAACATAGTTACATACTAGTATAGTCATTTCAAAGAAGAAGGTATAGTTTTAGCTTTATTGTGCCCTAAAAATGTAATGACATCAAAAAGTTTTGAAACTGGCTTAAATATTTAGTTAAATAAATGACTTTGATAAATCAGGAAAGAATATGGCATGAAGGTTTACCATTCTGCAAATATGACGTCATTAATTTGAAGCATTTCTCTATTTCAACAGAAAAAGCCTCAAAATGGCACATTTCAAGGGTGATTTTCCCATAGAAAACAGTGTCCACAGCCGTCGCCCACGTTAATTTTTTGATATTTTGTGCAAAATTCAATAGTTAATAACATATCTCAAGATCTTTGTGGGCGATGCCTGTGGACAATGTTGTCTGAAAGAAAATTCCATTGAAAATTGGTGTCTTCTGCAACTTTTTAAGAAAATACGGGAAAATGCACATGTTTATGACGTCATAATTAGCATTTAAAAGCACATGTGAGAAAAATGACTTGTTTGATTTTTCTGCATTGAATTTCAATTATTTAAAAAGCATGAGTTTTCAACTTTTACACCAGTTTCATTTTTTAGAAAATCACAGGGCAAAATTTGTATGGAAACCATACCTTCTTCTTTAACAAATATCATTTTATGAGTATGTAGAGTAGAAGATGGATTCAATGGAGAGGCCCATATGGATAACAATGATCAGTGATCCTGCAATTTTCAAAAGATCCCCCCCCCCCTCTTTTATATTCCCATGTAAAATTTTGAACCTACATTCAAATAATGTGGCCCAACAGGCCATTCTAGCCCCAAATGAGCATGAATTTCCTTAACTTAATTGAATCCACACAAGACAGGTATAAAGTGTTAGTTTCATAATATTTAGCCTTTTAGTGAATTTAATTTGAATCCCCTTTTACAAGGATGCTACTCAGTGTCAAGTTTGGTTGAAATTAGCCCAGGTGATTGTTGTATACTAGGGAGGAGTGTGTGAAAAATTATGAAAACGACAAAGTTAAAGTTTTGGATGAGCCCCCAGCTCGATTACTCAGGTGAAATTAACACACACACATTCGAGGTAAACTCGATAGATTTCGTAGTAGTTCATTTTTACTATAATTATTATTTTAACACAATAATTGACCTATTGTGTGGGGAAGCAAATTACGTGGTTCTTAACAAAACATTTACACAACATGATCGACATAATTAAAAAATAATAATAGGCCTATATGAAATTAAAGACGGACCTTATATTAACAAAATGTATTCTTATCCTTATTCCAAATAATAACATCAAACTCACCTTTCTCGTGTCGACGCTACTCCGCTCCCCCACGCGATAAAAATAAACGGGATTTTCCAAGTTAAAAATAAACAAGTGCACCATATTTACCCGAAAGGACCCTTAAGAGTGGGAAGGTATAATAGTGATCGGAATGTTCGTCCTTCCATCCGTCTGTTACGCTTTGGGGTACCATAGTTATACGGTTCAGACGACAGTGCAGAACGTAGGCCGAACGGAAAACGGATCGAACAGAAAGCGGAATAGAACGATGACGGAAAATTATTATCAAGCAAGATGGATGTGGAGATAACGAACGTACAGTATTCAATCTCAAAGTCCTTAAAACAATACAAAATAAGAGCAGAGCACACACGGACCTCCGAAACATCAGAGGTGGGATCAGGTACCATATGGTAAAAGAGGAATTGCGGATAAGAGATAGGTACCTAGCTGCAGAACTGTAGCTCTCCGAAAAAATATATATTGACAGATCCGGTCTATCAATACACAGTTATAAAATACCCTTAACCGACCGTAACAGACGGACGGACATCCCCATCACTATAAATATAGGCTACCCTCCCGCTTAATTTGCAAACGGGGGACGTATATTATACACTTATCCACTGGGTGTGAGTGGGATAGCTCTTTTATCAAACCCGCGACAGAGAACTATTCCCCGAGGGCTTGCCCGAGGGGAATAGTTTTTGTCAAGGGTTTGACAAAAGAGTTATCCCACTCACAAACAGTGGATAAGCGTTTTATTATACTGATGTATAATATAATTTCTGAGGTTTGAAATTTTTTCGGAGTAAGATAATACTGCAAGAATAATCTGAAATCCTGATGACGTCACAATGCTACTGAAGTCATTATGACATCATCAGTAGATAGAATCAAAATTGGAGGCAAAAATTGCATGAAAATTTTCCGAGGGTGGATAGCAAAAACTATACCCCGGGGTATAGTTTTGCTATGCGTGAACTATAAAAGATAGCTATTTTACCTTCTGAACTTTATATAGGAAACATTTTAACAGAAGTATAATAAATGTAATTATTCTTATCTCTTCGATTGGCTGTACATTGGTAATTTTTTTAACGCGAAACTTACCCGAATAAACACATAACTTGCGCGAATAAACGCGAAACTTGCACATTACAACGCGAAATTATTTGTATATATAAAAGGGAGAGGAGAAAATGCAGCGGACCAGACCGGGATTTGAACCCGGGCCCCCTGAAACAACGGTCAGGTGCTCTACCAACTGAGCTATCTGGCCACCGGCGATTGAACCCGGCTGACCGCCACATTCCTCCCTCCTTAAAGGTCTTTGGCCCTCCAAAGACCCCAACCCAGGCTCATCCCTGGCAGGTCTTTCACCTGTCAATTCCAGGTCATGGAACGGCACCAAATGTAACGGGAGAGGAGAAAATGCAGTGGACCAGACCGGGATTCAAACCCGGGCTCCCTGAAACTCCGGTCAGGTGCTCTTCCAACCGAGCTATTTGGCCACCGGCGATCGAACCCGGCTGACCGCCACATGTATAACAAGAGGCCCAGGGGCCATATCGCTCATCTGAGTATTGTCGCTAGGAAAAAAAAATCAAAAATCAGTTAAGTATTAAAAAGCTTAAATGCATGAGTGGTCCCGACCCCTAAAAGGCAGAAGGGGTATGGAGGAGGGGGTACAAGTTTGAACAAATTTGAATCTTCAACACCGGAGAATGCTTTCATATTAAGTTGACCAATCATTGCTTTGCTGTTCTTACATTCCTATGTAAAACCTTGATCAGCCATTGTGACCCTGCTGTATCCCTGGGGGTCATGATATGAACAAACTTGAATTTGCACTACCTGAGGATGCTTCCACATGACTTTCATCTTTCCTGGCCCAGTGGTTCTTGAGAAGAAGATTTTTAAAAGATGCCATTAATTTTTTGCTAATGCATAATTATCTCCCCTTGGAATAGGGTGTGGCCCTTCATTTGAACAAACTTAAACCCCCTTCACCCAAGGATACTTTGTGAGAAGTTTGGTTGACATTGGCCTCTTGGTTCTTGAGAAGAAGATGAAAATGTGAAGAGTTTACAACGACTACAGACAACGAACAGATTTTTATTAGAAAAACATTCGGCTCAGGTGAGCTAAAAATATGGTATTTGGAAAGTTTTTATCATCACTGACAGATAATTAAGAAAGATGAACGCAGAATGGGGCTTCTTTGAATTCATAAATGACATAAAATGATTTCCATAGAGGATGTAACCTAATGGTGAAAGGGGGGGGGGGTAATTTTGACAAAATAGCTAAGATGTACCATACACTTATGCCCATCAATTCAAAGCAATTGATTAAAAAAACACTGATTTAAAAAAATCCGCAATGTTTCTCGTACATTCTTTTTATTCAAATAGGTAGCATCGAAACGTCCCAAATGGAAAAAAAAAATCGAGGTTCCAGCGAGGCTCGAACTCGCGACCTTCTGCGTGTTAAGCAGACGTGATAACCACTACACCATGGAACCAGTCGATCAAATTGTCGTTAAATAGAGTTCATATTCAGGAGGTGTATTCACGCAGTCTATTTACGATATTGGTTTATTGACCACTTAGGAACCCAAAAGAAAAAGTACATTTTCAACACTTGTACTTGTATTCAATCAGGCTAAGGCAAGTTATTCGATCCTTTGGTAAAATATTTCGCGTTCTGTTGAAATTGAAACTTAAATTCAGAAAAGAACCAAGAACTTCCGAATAATCTAAAGTGAAAGTAGATTTTTTTTATACGTAAACAATTTTGCTCGAATACCAATGAGATGAACGCCTCTGCGGAAATAGAACAGTTTTTTGGTGTGTATTTACTGTATAATGTTAACCCGCAGTTCAAAGGGCGAACTTATATTGGATTCACAGTGAACCCAAACAGAAGAATTCAGCAACACAACAAAGGTAAACAGGCCGGGGGTGCGTGGAGAACTCATGGACGGGGACCGTGGGAAATGGTGCTCATCATCCACGGGTTCCCTAATGAAATATCCGCCTTGCGGTTCGAGTGGGCGTGGCAAAATCCAAAGAAGTCTAGAAGGTTAAAACATTTGCCAGGAAAAACTAAAAAGGAGAGCCAGTTTCAGTACAGATTTCGGATTGTTTCTGTCATGTTAAACACTTGCCCCTGGTGCAGGTTTTCGCTAACCATCAGGTGGTTAAAACAACAATACATACAAGACTTTCCTTTAGAATTCAGTCCACCATCACACATGCCCATAGCTTACGGCCCAGTTAGGATAAAAAAGAATGCTTCAAACAGCAGCAAAAGCAAACCTGACGTGTCAGCAGAGCTAGAACAAGACAGTGATGAAGAATTCTTAAGTCTGTTAAAGAGAAATGAGAAACATGTCCGATGTAGTTTTTGTAGACAACGACTGAAAGACAATGATACAATACTGAAGTGTGTTCATCCACAGTGTTCAATGCAGGCCCACATAGTCTGCCTGGCGAAGAGATTTCTCACAAACCAGCCAGGGGAGCTGATCCCAGTGGATGGGAAATGTCCTCTGTGTAAAGCAGTGGTTCTGTGGGGAGACCTAATCAGAGCTAAACAAGGCTGCTACCAAAACCTGGAGGAATGCACAAGTGCAGAGGAAGACACGGGGGAGGACTGGACAGATCAGCTGCAGAGTCAGGTCACTTAAAGTTTGACCTTGGGCAGAGTGAAAACTTATCGACTATGGACAGTATGAAGACTTATTTTCAGTGTATAGAAGATCAATATCTCAGGAAGTCATTTGTTTATGTTAGTGCATCACCGAGCATGAAATTTTATAATACATGTCTGTCATGTGATAAGTTTGGTAGATAAAGCAATTTATGGTCCGGTTCATTGTTTTGCAATTCTTGTGCACAATGTTTAGTTCAAATAATACATTTATGTATAACCTTTTGAGTGTTATAAATTATTAATTTCTATTCTATTCTTTTAATTCTATATCCAGTGTACAATTTATTCTGTGCAAAGCATCTAACTATTTAACATGATTAAAACAATTTAGAAATTACACTACCCCAGGATGCTTCTATATGTAACGTGAGAGGAGAAAATGCAGTGGACCAGACCGGGATTCAAACCCGGGACCCCTGAAACTCCGGTCAGGTGCTCTACCAACTGAGCTATCTGGCCACCGGCAATTGAACCATGCTGATCGCCACATTCCTCCCTCCTTAAAGGGCCAAAGACCCCAACCCAGGCTCTTCCCTGGCAGGCCTCTCACCTGTCAATTCCAGGGCATGGCACAGCACCAAATGTAACGGGAGAGGAGAAAATGCAGCGGACCAGACCGGGATTCGAACCCAGACCCCCTGAAACTCCGGTCAGATGTTCTACCAACTGAGCTATCTGGCCACCAGCGATCGAACACGGCTGACCACCACATATATAAGTTTCAGCTTTTCTGTCCCATTAATTCTTGAAAAGATTTTTTTTTAATGACCCCAACCTATTTTTGTCTTTTCTTGATTATCTCCTCTTGGAAGGGGACTTGGCTCTTTATTTTAAGAATTTAAACTCACCTTTAACCAAAGATGCTGTGGTTCTTGAGAAGTTGAAAATGTGAAAAGTTTACGATACACGGACAACAGAAAACAGGTAATTAGAAAAGCTTACTTGAGCTTTCACCTCAGGTGAGCTAAAAAGATTTATTATACCTCTACTGTAATTAATCTGTACAAAATTAACACCATAAAACTTTCTATTGCCCAAGAAGAGACTATTTCCCTCATCTGAAGACTACTCCCTAGAAAATCAAAGCTATTCCCTGGGACTACTCCCTCATGAATATTTATTAGTAATTTAACCAATCAAAGTGTTCAGTGGGCGGATAGTTCAAGGAATCTCGAGTCTGTGTCTTTCTGTTATTAGCAATGTAACTATGACATCAAAACATTTCGACATGCGATGTCAAAATCATACTTGAATTTCTAGCAAAATGAAGACAACGATATCATAACTTTTTGAAATGTCAGTGAAAATACTTTTTAAAAATAATTTTATTGTTTTAGGACATGATGCATTACTTATCAGTTATCTTATAATCTGTTAAATTGCAAGCATTTGTAATCATGCCTCTAAATTGTTTTTTTGAATGTTGGAATATCTGGTTAAAAAAAAAATAAATCGCCTATGATTGTTTCGGTATAATAAAACAGTTATAGACTGTGAACTCAGAAAATAGCAAATTTATGGTTCCCGTTGGCAGGAAACCATTTCCCCTTGGCGGCTTTGCCGCCTCGGGAAATAGTTTCCTCCCTTGGGGAACCAAAAATTTGCTATTAACCCATAGCAAAAAGAAATGGCATTTTTCCATTTTATCTCCATTCATTCAGCATTTTCTTTCCATTTTTCATTTCAAAACCATTTTTTCTACATTTCTCTATCTTTTAATTTTCCGAAACCATTTTTTCAGAACCATTTAAAAACCATTTCTGTTAGAAAATGCTTTTTAAATGGTAAACATACAGCATTTTCTTTCCATTTATTTGAGTAAATTGAAAAGAATTGCCAGTTTGGTGATCCAACTTGCTTGAGTGGACCATTTTTCTCCTATTTATTTTCTGAGAAATGGAGAATTAAAAAAAATGGTTATAGCTTTAGAAAGATTTGTTCTGATTAATTGAAGCCATGTGCCAGATTTTTATAATGGGGCACTGGATATCGGATTTCCTCCCAAGCTCTGTAGTGACCGCCTTTTCCAGTAAGTTTGAATATTGGACAAGAGCACTTTGACCTACTACTGCTGGTAGTGAGTTGAGATGGCTGAAGATATTCTTCAAAAAGTATTTAGGTTTTCAGTGATTTTTGATGCTGACAAAGCTGTACATTGATGGTCAAAGCAGAAAAAGAATTACTAACTTCTTGGAGGATATAATATATGTGACACCGTTTTTCATGTCTCCAACATTTGGGAAGTAGGCAGAGGAAATGCAGCACATTTACCGTACAGTTAGAAAGGACCTTATTATTCTTTTTGAGTGGTAAGTATAAATATGTACATATTTTTATTAATGTCAGTTACAGAAAAATGTTCTTTTCCCAAAGAAAACACATAAAGAATGCCCATTAAACATGCTGATGCAATAATCTATAAACCAATTAATCTTGTTTAAAATGGGTCAGACTGAGGGAACTTAATAGATTCATAATTATACTTTTGTAAATTCTTATTGATTATAAACTTCAATAGTAAATTTTTGAAATAACTATATTTTTTGCATTTCCTTTTATTTTTAGAGTACTGCTTGCATATATATGGATATGATGGAGCACCAAAATGAACATCACAGGGATTCAAAATATAATTTTTTAAAGATGGAGACTACGTACGTCCACATTCAGATCAAATAAGGATTTTGACAAAAAAACATTCCAGGATTCAAAACCATATATGTGAAAAAATTGAGCAAGTTAAGTGACCTCTATTTCGTGACTGACTCTACAACTAAGAAAATGGATTTTTAAAGTGCTTATTCTTTACATAATGGATATCAATTAAGGACCCAGCTAAATTTTCCATTTTTCAATTATAGATAAAATGTGTTAAAAATGGATATTAAATCGCTAAAACAAAAACCATTTATTTTTCATTTTTTATCTCATTTGCATAAATGGTTTTGGAATGGTTAATTTGCATGTTACAGGGCCCAAAAAAATGGAGTTTGAATGGATATATATTGAATGGAGTTTGAATGGAGATAAAATGAAAAATGGTTTTTAAATGATCATCCTTACTGTTGAGAATTCTTAAAAGATTTGACAAAATAAAATGGCTTCTGAATGGTTTTTAAATGGTCAGAAAAGAAATGGCTGTTAAATGGTATCTAAATGGATTTCATTTTGATAAGGGTTTCCCTCGTATACCCATTCCATAACTGTATATTTTTACCCTAGTATTAAATGCATGGATAGTACTTTATTTTTTCACTCTGCAAAAGTTTGCTTACATCTCTCTCTCTCTATATATATATACATGTATACACATATATTGTAAAAGCAGAAATGTTTGTGGGACAATTAATTGAGTAGGGTTACTTTAAAACAACGCAAATTAAATGCTTAAGAAATTATTTGACAAATCAAGGAAATTTTATTCCCATTAAAATTTTGCTTCTAGAATATACATGTACAGTGGACCCTCATTTATCCGGACGCTTTGGTTCCCAGTCAATTTGTCTGGATAAGTGAAGCGTCCGGATACCTGAATCACCAGTTAAACAAGACAAAGTAACATTTAAAAATTCCGTCCCCATGACAAAGTGTCCGGATACTGAAGCATCCGGATATCTGGCGTCCGGATATCTGAAGGTTCACTGTATATGGAGATGAAAATGATTAACTAATCAAAACAGTTCTAACACTTAATTCAGTTTATTACTACACATGCTTTACATTTATAATTTTGTCAATGTCACACAGAATTGTGTACCTTCATTTTAATTATCTGATAAACCTTGTAATAGATATAATATCAATAGCCTTTACAATAAATATAATTATATTAATATATACAATGAACAATACAAATTATTTCACAGGTTTTGTACAGGATATACACTGTACATGTACTAGATTTTACATCAACAATACAAAATTGTACATTATGCTATACATCTGTACTGGCAATGGCACACGCAAGCAACCTCGATTTCCAATTAAGAGGGAAAATTAATTGGTACTAATGGAGTCCCATGGACCATAACTTGCCAGAGGTACTAGTGGCCCTGTCATTCTTCATCAGCAGATTTTTCCCCTATACATGTAATATATTCTTAATGTAAAATTTAATCTTATACTTTGGCCATAAATCAATAGCCTAAATGTGTTCATTCATTCCACATACTTTAACACATACCAATAACAGATACAGTACAAATTTTACAAACATAAATAATTCCAACAAGAGGCAAGCCTTATATACCAGTACACATGTACTTCAATGAAATTAAATATTAGTACTGTAAACCAACTTATCTTTGTGAGCAAGAAATATCTGCAAATTTTGCAACCTTCTTTAAATTAAGACTTCTTCTCATTGCCAACTAATTATTTACCTTTGTTTTCATGTAGATGTTGCCATTATTGCAAAAATTAGTAGCTGCTGCAAAAAGACTCCTAACTGAAAAGTTGTAAATAAGACGTCACAAATACTAGCTGGTTTACAGTATTTTTGTAAAAGTATAAATTTCAATTCTGACAAAAACTACTATAAATCTATAAATGCAAAGCCTTACAAAATTAGCACCAAACTTTTTACAATATCAATACTGGTAGATGGAATAAACAAAGAATAAATAAAATGAAGAATAAATAAAATGAAGCACTCTGTGTGTGATCTTCAGGAAAGAGATGCTATATGTTCCCCTTCAGAGTTCTGACATTTTGTATGTCATGTAAAAGATAAGTATAAAAAGTACACATCATTTAGAGCACTGGTGAATGAGATTCATGTTGTCTTGACTTAAGAGTTGGTCCAGTGGTGATCAGTAAACAGGGTGGGGGTCATTCTGAAATCAACAAAGTTCACAAATAATATAGTGACATTGCAGGAGATTGCTCACTTAACTGTACCTGGAAAATCTAATAGAAAGTTCACTTAAACCTATGGTTCAGAAAAACTACATAATTATATTAATATGCCATTGAACAATTACATCCTTTTCATTTATTACCGATAAAAAAAATTACAAGCATGTGTGGCGGTCAGCCGGGTTCGATCGCCTTGGCCAGATAGCTCAGTTGGTAGAGCACCTGACCGGAGTTTCAGGGGGCCCGGGTTCAAATCCCGGTCTGGTCCGCTGCATTTTCTCCTCTCCCGTTACATTTGGTGCCGTGCCATGCCCTGGAATTGACAGGTGAAAGACCTGCCAGGGATGAGCCTGGGTTGGGGTCTTTGGAGGGCCAAAGACCTTTAAGGAGGGAGGAATGTGGCGGTCAGCCGGGTTCGATCGCCGGTGGCCAGATAGCTCAGTTGGTGGAGCACCTGACCGGAGTTTCAGGGGGCCCGGGTTCGAATCCCGGTCTCGTCTGCTGCATTCTCTCCTCTACCGTTACACATGCATATACATAAATATATTTTGTTAAATATGCCCACTCATCAGTTTGTACAATGTGTTATACCTCAGAATAAGCCGGTGGTCTTCTGTAGTCATACACATAAGTATACATAGGTGTAAAGGTCAGACTGCCCATCTGACCAGGGTCATCATCATCGTCCAGTATACTGACTGCTCCCTCTACACTCTCACGATACGTGGGTGGATCTAAAAGTTTACAAATAGGATCTAGTAAATAAAGGTCAAATATGAACACCCTATTTTTTCCCATTCAAAATTTATCACTAATGTCAAAATTTCTAACAAGAGGCCCAGGGGCCACATCACTCACCTGAGCAAATCGTCTAGGAAAAAACACAAATCAGATCAGAACTGAAAAGTTTACTGAAAGGGGGGGGGGGGGGGGCTTGAATTTAATATTACTTTAGAATGCCTTCATATTAATACAGCATAAGACTTTGCTGTTCTTGATAAAAAAGATTTTTAAGAAAAATTTCTTCCTTTACTATCACTAATCATTGCTTTGAAGTACTTGAGAAGACGATTTTTGTAAGGATTTTTACAATATGTATAATGTAAAACTTTGATCAGCCATTGTGGCCCCATCCTACCCCCGGGGTCATGATTTGAACAAACTTGAATCTACACTACCTGAGGATGCTTCCACACGAGTTTCATTTTTCCTGGGCCAGTGGTTCTTGAGAAGAAGATTTTAAAGATTTTCCCTATATACTCCTATGTAAAACTTTGATCAGCCATTGTGGCCCCTCCCTACCCCCAGGGGTCATGATTTGAACAAACTTGAATCTACACAATCTGAGGATGCTTCCACATTAGTTTCCTCTTTCCCGGCCCAGTGGTTCTTGAGAAGAAGATTTTTAAAGATTTTCCCAATATACTCCTGTGTAAAACTTTGATCGGTCATTGTGGCCCCACCCTACCCCCGGGGGTCATGGTTTGAATAAACTTGAATCTACACTACCTAAGGATGCTTCCACACGAGTTTCATTTTTCCTGGACCAGTGGTTCTTGAGAAGAAGATTTTTCCTGTATACTCCTATGTAAAACTTTGATCAGCTATTGTGGCCCCACCCTATCCCCGGGGGTCATGATTTGAATAAACTTGAATCTACACTACCTGAGGATGCTTCCACATGAGTTTCATTTTTCCTGGCTCAGTGGTTCTTGAGAAGAAGATTTTTAAAGATTTTCCCTATATACTCCTATGTAAAACTTTGATCTGTCATTGTGGCCCCATCCTATCCCAGGGGGTCATGATTTGAAAAAACTTGAATCTACACTATCTGAGGATGCTTCCACATTAGTTTCATCTTTCCCGGTCGAGTGGTTCTTGAGAAGAAGATTTTAAAAAATTTTCCCTATATACTCCTATGTAAAACACTGATCGGCCATTGTGGCCCCACCCTACCCCTGGGGGTCATGATTTGGACAAACTTGAATTTACACTACCTGAGGATGCTTCCACATGAGTTTCATCTTTCTTAGCGAAGTGGTTCTTGAGAAGAAGATTTTTTAAAAATGCCATTAATTTTTCACTAATTCATAATTATCTCCCCTTGGAAAAGGGAGTGGCCCTTTGTTTGAACAAACTTGAATCCCCTTCACCTAAGGATACTTTGTGCCAAGTTTGGTTGAAATTGGCCAAGTGGCTCTTGAGAAGAAGTCGAAAATGTGAAAAGTTAACGACGACAACGCCAACAACAACGACGACAACAGACAACGGACAAATTTTGATCAGAAAAGCCTTCGGCTCAGGTGAGCTAAAAAGTAAGTCAAGTAAACTTCCAAATCAAGGAAAATGGTAAAAACATCTTTAAACATTTGGAAAATTCCTTCACAGGTAATGTGCATGTCAAATATGACCACTCAGAGTAAATAGTCTAATTCAAAAGTAAGATCGATTTTAAAATTTTTGAAAATGTGACTTCGGCTTCAAGGAGTCCAAAATCAGTTTTTTTTAAAAAGACAGATTTTTTCAAAAGATATGCAAATGTCAAATACATGTGAATTAAGCATGTAATACAGTAATGGAGAGTTTATGCTCATTGATTTGCTGAAATGCTTGCTCTTTATAAGCAGAACTTTGAAATTTCTACTATAGCTATTAATATCTATTGAACATTAAAGCACTGTCCATGTATTGTCCATTCCAGAGAGTTCAGTAGAGGCTGTTACCTCCAAAGGGTGGTGGTGCTATGCTCTCTGTGTAGGGTGGCGGTGCTGGCAGTAGAGAGATGTCGCCTAGCTGTACCCTGGCCTGTAGGCTGGTGGGTGGGTGTCGGTCCTGGCGGTAAGGCACGGTACCTATCACAATGGGGAGCTGTAGAGCCAGGTTCTGGGAGCCAGGGATGTGGAGAGAAACCTGGAAACAGATATAATGTACCAACATGTACATGTGCATAATGTTTATACAGTGTAGTTATGAATTCCTTATGAATTTTGGTAGGGGGCACACATGACAATCTTCATGTTAAGGGCAATAAATTGGACTGTTATACGTTTATCTAATTAAATCAAAAACAAAATTTTAAATCAAACTTCTACTGCATACATACAGTGATAGGCATGTACAATATTCACATAAAGTCCAGTTTTGATTTGGAAGCCCCTCAATGTACATGTACCAACAGTCAGATATGGCATCTGAGGCATATCAGACTATGCTTCCTTAGAAGCATCATAATTTTGTAAAAGAAAGGACTGTGGTTGGTAATGAATAAATCGAAATCTGAGAATACCTTAAGACTTAAAGCCATATATGGCATATGTACAGTGAAAATTATTAGACTAAAATTATAAGAACTTATTATTTGTATCATTACTTTATATAAAGATAGAACTTTTCCGTAAATTACAAAATCTAAGTCAATTGCGTTATAAAGATATCACAATTTAATTTGGATTTTTGGAATTTTCTCTGACTCGGAAGAAAATACAAAAGATTTAAATAACACATTACAGAGAAGATAAAATCGTATTATTAGGTGTTTTCCGTGTTCAGAATTGTAAGAAAAGCTTTAATTTAAATGTATTAACTATATTTCTTTACTTAATTTTGTATTTTTCAAAAATATATTTTTTTGATCAGTTATGCCATATATGGCTTTAAGTCATATAAACAAACTTAAATTCTGAGACAAACCTTAAAGACTTGCTGCAAAACTGTAACGTTATTGTTTTTTATTCATGTCGACTTCCGGCCCCCCTTTGGCGATTTCTCGGATTGTTGAAGCAGTAGATCGAGTTTGATGAGGTATTTTTAATATTTGCAAGTGTGATGCACCCTTCTGGCTGCAGTGTCTGTAAGTTTAGACCTCTAAAGACTGGCCACAGAAAGAATATGGTTGCAGGGAATTTATTTGATGGAGTTTCAGACGAAAATACAAGTGGATGTGACAGACCTAGAAAAATTCAAGATGGCGCCGATGGGGACCTTGGTTTATAAGGTAAGGGTATATTTTTTTTAATAAAAGAAAAATAAGTAAAGTCAGGTGCCTGTGAGTTGGGTATAACTTTCCCAACTTTTCAATTGTTGCAGTCAATTACCTTCATTCCCTAAGCACACCTTAACCAGAGACTGACAATTTATGCCATATGAACAAACCTAAACCTGAAAGTAACCTTAAGATTTATCAAGTCATTTTTTAAAAAGTCTTAGAACAAGAGGCCCAAGGGCCTTGAATCGCTCTTCTGATAAATTGTACAATCTATCACTTCTATTAGAACTAAGAAGCCTCCAAATCTATTAGTATCATAAGACCCAAAATGCATTAACTTACAAAGTTTGATAATATTTAGCCAGTTAAGACTGAAGATATTATAATTTAATTATAAAATACCATAAGTAGGTCACAGTGACCTACCTTTTGATTGAAATTTTCTGAGAACTCAAGATACAGTAATTGACTAAGACTGATGATTCTAATTAAATAAGTACCTGAGATATTCAAAAGTTGGTCACCATGACCTACTTTTTGGTCAACATTCTCTGAAAACCCAAGATGCATCATCTGACAAAATTTGACGATTCTAAGCCAATTAGTACCAGAGATAATTAAATATAGCCATCAAATGTCAAAAGTAGGTCAAAGTGACCTACTTTTTGGTCGACGTTATCCAAAAACCCAAGATGCCTAAACTGACAAAATTTGATGATTCTAAGCCAATAAGTACCTGAGATATTCAAAAGTCACCGTGACCTACATCTTGTTGGACATTCAATAAAACCATAAGATGCCTCAACTGACAAAGTTTGATGATTCCAAGCCAATAAGTACCAGATATAATTAATTATAGCCACAAAATGTCAAAAGTAGGTCACCATGACCTACTTTTTGGTCGTCACTCTCCGAAAACCCAAGATGCATCAACTCACAAAATTTGCTGATTCTAAGCCAATAAATACCGGAGATACTTAAATAAAGCCATAAAATGTCAAAAGTAGGTCACCATGACCTACTTTTTGGTCGTCACTCTCCGAAAACCAAATATGCATCGACTCACAAAGTTTGAGATTCTAAGCCAATAAATACCTAATATACTTAAATATAGCCATAAAATGTCGAAAGTAGGTCATCGTGACCTACATTTAGGTCGACATTTTTTAAAGACACAAGATGCATCTACTGACCAAGTTTGATGATCGTAGGTCTGATGGTATTCAAAATATGCGTTTAAAACAACTTGAAAACAAATGTCAACAAAATTCAAAAAGTAGGTCACAGTGACCTACTTTTTTCATATATATGTTTTAAGGTCCCAAGATGCATCAAAGTACAAGATTTGATGATTCTAAACCTCCCAGTGTCTGAAATAATGGGATTTAATTTTTTAAAAAGGATAAGTTATAAAGTTCAAAAAGTAGGTCACGGTGACCTACTTTTAAGTTGCCATTGTTCGAGGACCCAAGATGCATCAACTGACAAAGTTTGATGATCATAGGCCTTAAAGTGTCCAAAATATGCCTTCAAATCAATTTGAAAACAAATCCCCGCAAAATTTAACAAGAGGCCCATGGGCCACATCGCTCACCTGAGCACTAAGGGTAGGAAAAAGTAGAAAACGGCTTTTTATTGTAAAGTTTAAATCCAAAAGTAGTCCCATGACCAATCATGGATTTGCTATTTTTTAGAAAATGATTTTTAAAGAATTTTCCTATATATATCTTTAAAAACTTTAGTCGGCCATTTTGGCCCTGCCCTACCCCCTGGGGGTCATGATTTGAACAAACATGAATCTACACTAACTGAGGATGCATATTAATATGATCAATTATTGCTTTGTCATTCTTGAGAAGAAAGATATTTAAAGAATTTTCCTATATATTTCTATGTAAAACTTTGGTCGGCCATTTTGGCCCCGCCCTACCCCCGGGGGTCATGATTTGAAAAAACTTGAATCTACACTACCTGAACATGCTTCCATATGAATATGATGAATTATGGCTTTGTCATTCTTGAGAAGAAGATTTTTAAAGAATTTTCCTATATATTTCTATGTAAAAGTTTGGTCAGCCATTTTGGCCCTGCCCTACCCCCGGAAGTTCATGATTTGAACAAACTTGAATCTACACTACCTGAACATGCTTCCATATAAATATGATCAATTATGGCTTTGTCATTCTTGAGAAGAAGATTTTTAAAGAATTTTCCTATATATTTCTATGTAAAAGTTTGGTCGGCCATTTTGGCCCCGCCCTACCCCCGGGGGTCATGATTTGAACAAACTTGAATCTACACTACCTGAGCATGCTTCCATATAAATATGATGAATTATGGCTTTGTCATTCTTGAGAAGAAGATTTTTAAAGAATTTTCCTATATATTTCTATGTAAAAGTTTGGTCGGCCATTTTGGCCCCGCCCTACCCCTGGAGGTCATGATTTGAACAAACTTGAATCTACACTACCTGAGGATGTTTCCCCATAAGTTTCATCTTTCCTGGCACAGTGGTTCTTGAGAAGAAGATTTTTAAAATATGCCACCAAATTTTCATTAATTCCCAATTATCTCCCCCTGAATGAGGGCGTGGCCCTTCATTTGAACAAACTTGAATTCCCTTCACCCAAGGATACTTTGTGGCAAGTTTGGTTGAAATTGGCCCAGCGGTTCTTGAGAAGATGTCGAAAATGTGGAAAGTTTACAGACAGACAGACAGACGGACAGACAGACAGACGGACAGACGGACGCCGGACAAAATGTGATCAGAAAAGCTCACTTGAGCCTTCGGCTCAGGTGAGCTAAAAAGTAGGTCACCGTGACCTACTTTTGAGTTAACATGACGTGAAGTTGTAAGATGCATCAACTTACAAGATTTGATGATTCCAGTCCTTATAGTAAGCAAATATACATGTTTTTATTAATTGTAAATTTAGGTCAACTTTGAAGTGACCTTGAGACCACGCCCTTTGCCCCAATTTTCCCCGTGCAAATTTTAATCTTCGACATATCCTGATCCTTGTATGTAAGTTTGGTGAAAATCTGCCTGGTGGTTATGGAGAAGAAGATTTTTTAGCAACCAGTACTTTTGGTTTTGTTTTCCTGATTATCTCCCCTTGTTTAAGGGTCCCAACCCTTATTTTAGTATAAGTGGTAGCCCTTGGGCCAAGGATACCCTGTGACAAATTTGGTACTGATTGGCCAAGGGGTTCTTGAGTTATGGCCCATATTCTAAAAAGTTTATGCACACCGCACAAATGGCCATAGCATTAGCTCTTTGAGCCTTTGGCTCAGAAGAGCTAAAAATAGATTGAAAACAAGGAAAACACAACTATTTTTTCAAACATTTTGTGAGAATCTTTGTTATACATATGTAGTGTACAATGCATACCTCAATGAAGTACTTGACTTTGAGGATACAGCAGTTCCTAATGGTTGGGGAGACAGCTGGTATTTCTATCTCCTGAGACTCCCAGACGCCCACTCCACCAGGGTATACAGCCGCACCTGTAGGTTCAATAGGACAATCTTAAATCAAAATTTATCTACTCTACACCAGGATATATAGGAGGACCAGTAGAATACATTCAGAACTTTAATATTCATTACTCTCAACCAGGTTATATGAACACCAGTTGGTAGGATACATTCAGAATTTAAATTTCCACAACTTTGAATTCACAGACTGGTTTCAAGAATTGTTAAATTGTTGCATTCAAGAACAGTAGTATGCATAATTACCAGAAATGGTACAAAACTTGGTCCTCCGTAGTTTTGATTTGTTGCCGGCAAAGAAGATTTGAGACTGATAGAGAGTAGCATGAGGGGTCACAGTCCGTGAAGAATGATTGCTGAATTCTGCAAAAATCTGGATCGATTCACCTATCAATAGAGCGCACAAAAATATATGTCAACTGCACAAAGAAAGTAGGTTATCTCTAATAAGGCTTACAAATGTAATTCATGTCAGACCTAAACTTAGAGATATTATCATTAAAGGTATCAAACAAGAAGCCCTCAGCATCAATGCTCTCATCACCGTTCTGTCTACCGGTAATTATTACATAGGACTCTCAGTGGGTGTGACCAGTCAACAGGGGATACTAAATCCTCCTAGGCACCTGATCCCATCTCTGGAATTTCTAATGGTCCTTGTTTTTACCTTTGAGATTGATCACTTCATTATCTTCAGCTTTCTGATTACTATCATTTAATGCTTTTACACTAAACTGGAATGCTTACGAATCGACTTACTGTGGTTATGTTGTTCTCAAATATTGGATATAAAGTACATCATACATGATGGTTAATATTTTGAAAACCAACAAAACCCTAGTCTGCAGGTATCCGCTTTAATACCATAGTCACTGGCCCTGAGAGAAAAAGTTACTTTACCTGAGCAATATCCACGTCTGTCTGTCTGTGTGGTGATTGACACCGGTAGTATCTTAACCTGGGCAATATCCCCGTCTGTCTGTCTGTGCAGTGATTGACACCAGTAGTTACTTTACCTGGGCAATATCCCCATCTGTCTGTCTGTGCAGTGATTGACACCAGTAGTTACTTTACCTGGGCAATATCCCCGTCTGTCTGTCTGTGTGGTGATCGACACCAGTAGTTACTTTACCTGGGCAATATCCCCGTCTGTCTGTCTGTGTAATGATTGACACCAGTAGTTACTTTACCTGGGTAATATCCCCGTCTGTCTGTCTGTGTGGTGACTGACACCAGTAGTTACTTTACCTGGGTAATATCCTCGTCTGTCTGTCTGTGCAGTGATTGACACAAGTAGTTACTTTACCTGAGCAATATCCCCATCTGTCTGTCTGTGTGGTGATTGACACTGGTAGTTACTTAACCTAGGCAATATCCACGTCTGTCTGTCTGTGCAGTGATTGACACCAGTAGTTACTTTACCTGGGCAATATCCCCATCTGTCTGTCTGTGCAGTGATTGACACCAGTAGTTACTTTACCTGGGCAATATCCCCGTCTGTCTGTCTGTGTGGTGATTTACACCAGTAGTTACTTTACCTGGGCAATATCCCCGTCTGTCTGTCTCTGCGCTGATTGACACCAGTAGTTACTTTACCTGGGCAATATCCCCGTCTGTCTGTCTGTGTGGTGATTTACACCAGTAGTTACTTAACCTGGGCAGTGTCCCTGTCTGTCTGTCTGTCTGTGCAGTGATTGACACTGGTAGTTACTTTACCTGGACAGTGTCCCTGTCTGTCTGTCTGTCTGTGCAGTGATTGACACTGGTAGTTACTTAACCTGGGCAGTGTCCCTGTCTGTCTGTCTGTGCAGTGATTGACACTGGTAGTTACTTAACCTGGGCAGTGTCCCTGTCTGTCTGTCTGTCTGTGCAGTGATTGACACTGGTAGTTACTTAACCTGGGCAGTGTCCCTGTCTGTCTGTCTGTCTGTGCAGTGATTGACACTGGTAGTTACTTAATCTGGGCAGTGTCCCTGTCTGTCTGTCTATGCTGTGATTGACACTGGTAGTTACTTAACCTGGGCAGTGTCCCTGTCTGTCTGTCTGTCTGTGCAGTGATTGACACTGGTAGTTACTTTACCTGGGCAGTGTCCCTGTCTGTCTGTCTATGCTGTGATTGACACTGGTAGTTACTTAACCTGGGCAGTGTCCCTGTCTGTCTGTCTGTGCAGTGATTGACACTGGTAGTTACTTTACCTGGGCAGTGTCCCTGTCTGTCTGTCTGTCTGTGCAGTGATTGACACTGGTAGTTACTTAACCTGGGCAGTGTCCCTGTCTGTCTGTCTATGCTGTGATTGACACCGGTAGTTACTTAACCTGAGCAGTGTCCCTGTCTGTCTGTCTGTCTGTGCAGTGATTGACACTGATAGTTACTTTACCTGGGCAGTGTCCCTGTCTGTCTGTCTGTCTGTCTGTGCAGTGATTGACACTGGTAGTTACTTAATCTGGGCAGTGTCCCTGTCTGTCTGTCTATGCTGTGATTGACACCGGTAGTTACTTTACCTGGGCAATATCCCCGTCCGTCTGTGCGGTGATTGACACAGGTATTTACCTGGACAGTATCCCCGTCTGTCTGTCCGTGCGGTGATTGACACTGGTCCTGATGTACAAAACCAGCAACATAGCGTCTTCTCAACATTGCTCTCCACAAAGTTCTAACAATAAACATTAACATGTATGGTACTAAAGATTGAGAATAATGACATTGTTAAAAAAAGAATTTTACATTGTAGCTTTGCTACACTGCAAATCTCCCAAGGGTATACTTTTATTACATTGTTCATTTATGCTTTTATTCTTCTACAAAAGCAAAACAATCAGAAATGGTGTAAAAATAAAGTAAGATTTTTTATACTGACCATGTACTCTGGACGGTTGATGTCTATGGGACTGATGACGGTGAAGGCTTTCTTGGTTTTATGGTTGAATGACCAAGGCTTATCAATCTCGGCCTTTACCCAGTATCGAATGTTACCATGCTTGCCCTCAAATGATGTGGAAATTCCACTACAAGCACAGAACTGATCACTGTTTAAAATCTTCGACATTAGCACCACTTTTTATCTATACACAAGGAATATAATTTAAAGGGTAAATATGGTTCTGGAGAATAAAGTTAAAAAAGATGTGCAAATTTTAAAGATTACACGACATAAGTATACAGGCACTGGGTACATTTTTCAGTCACATTGGCTCCCCGTAACATTTTTTTTTCTCAGAGAAATGGGAAAAAAATTACCTCATAGGTAAATCAAAAGTGAAGTTAAAGTCATGATGACCGGCTTCTAGTAGATGATCTCTTCCATCTGTTACTTCTGAAACAACGAAAGCAACATGTTATTATTATTTTAAAAGGTGCACTAGAAACTGTGCTTAAAGTCATAAGACATTTAACAAACTGCTGATTTTTCAATAAAATTTCTGCCCGAGAAATAACCAAGATGTGTTTTTTTTGTCCCCTGCAGAGCTAAATTGGTGAAACTTAGAAATGATTTTATCAGGCATCTGACTATCTGTCCATTTGTTTGTCTGCATGTCTGTCAAACCCTATATTTTATAAACTGTAAGAGGTAATGGATTCAAGATTTTATAAAATATTTCATATATTTGAATTGGTATTCCAAACAGAACATGCTGAAAAATGATAAAAATGCAGTAAAGAAAGAAGTGACTTCCTTAGTGGCATTCAAACAAAAATAATGGTTAATTACAGAATTTCATAAATAAGTTAAGATGCTTGAATGCATCCATTACACATCAACATTAGGAGAAAGCGTTATAGACATTGTCACTGATTTCCACAGTGTTCTACATCAACATGATATGGAAGCAACATTGCCACTGATCTTTACATGTACCTCCACCAAACAAGACTTGTCTTTTGAAGAAGTACTCCACCTCGGCATTGTAATGCTCGGTGTACGCCCCAAGTCTGGTGCCCGTGTTTCTGGACTCGGTCCAGTGAACTTTAGCCACACCTCTCAGAAAAATTCTCAAGGACCTAAGCTTCACGTCTTTCTTCAAGTCCAGCACTACGCATCCCGATACCCGCTCTCCCGGGTAAAACACAGATTTATTTTCCGTCCAAAGAATTTCAAAACATTTTAGTTTCCCCATGCCTTTACTGGGGATTGTCTTCATTTCTCGATGCACCAACCAGAATCCCCGCCAAATTTGACATTTTTGCGGGAAAAAATAAATATCCCACACCCGACTAACACAACGCAATGAAAAAGCTAGTACAGTTCGCGTATAATTGTTTCGAAAACCCAGTAAAGTTATTTAAATACTGTCATAGCCACAAAAACCACCACCATCCAACCATCTTCCTTCTATGTTAATCAGTTCTACGAACGATGAACTCGCCTTGGCTATTTGTATCGATCTCTGGGGAGTCTATTTAACGATGAAGTCGGAAATGCATGCACAAATAGGTTGTTCACGTTTACAAATAAAATTATAAAAAATATATATTTGTAATTCTTCAAGAATGTTTGCTATGCATAAAAAAACATTGCAGAAAGTGTTCATTTTATAGAATAATATTAATATGTGGTCAGGCAGAATTTATGATTACATGTACCTCAATCAGTCAAGCCAGAGGTGAGAGACATTAACTTATAAAATATCCCTGATAGAGCTCTCACCTGAGTTTAGAGGGCCCAGGGTGACACCTGGTCCATTTCATCACATTTTCTTCCTCTCAGTTCCTAGTCTTTAACAAGAGGTCTATGGGCCACAATGCTCACCTGAAATATTATGACCCAGCTATATTCTATATCAACATCCCGGGCCCCACTAAATTCTGAATCATTCAAAAACTTTGATCCTAAATTGAGGCCCCTTCCTACAATCTACAAAGTGTTCAGTAAAAATAATGACTATATACGGACCAAGGAGGGGGGGGGGGGCATGGGTGGGATTTAGCCTCATTCTTTTCCAAGCTTGGGATATATCTGAAAGAACTTGAAATTGAAAGTCATATGTGGCATATTTTTAATGAGTCCAGACTAACTAAAATTAAAAAGATCTTTCTAAAGTAAAACTTGGTTATAACTATAAGTCACCGGGACCTGTGAAATTACTTCACTACATCCGTAATTCGTTATACTGTATATCCGTATTAAGAATTCGTTAAATTTTAATATATTGCTAGGGATCCAAGATAACTTCACTCTATCCATGAATTTGCAATATCCGTCTTCGTACTAAACAAGTTTCACTGTATTTGTTTTGTCAATCAATTTATATAAAGATAGGACTTTTCGGTAAATTACAGAATTTAAATCAATCACGTTTCATAGATATAACAGATTCAAAACAATTAATGACA